CTTCTGCTATTAAATATGACATTTACTTGTCAACAAAATTGAGAGTGAGTGAGTGAGTGAGTTTGGTTTTACGCCGCTTTTAGCAATATTCCAGCAATATCACGGCGGGGGACACCAGAAATGGGCTTCACACATTGTACCCATGTCGGGATTCGAACCCGGGTCTTCGGCGTGACGAGCGAACGCCTTAACCACTAGGCTACCCGACCGCCCCAACAAAATTGAGAACTCAGCATGGTTAAGAGTTGTAATGGCTTTCCACTGTACGACACAAAGAATATAGAATGTGCTGTGAATAACTATGACACATTGACAGTGGTATGTACTATATGTTTGTTTGCTTTTTGTTTGTTGCTTTACGCGGCACTCAGTAATATTCCATACAGTTGGCTGTAAATGATTGAGACATGACCAGACAGTCCAGTGATTGACATCATGAGCATCGATCCACACAAAAGGGATACGATGACTGTGGCATATGCATTATGGGACATGTGGACTGTGGTTTGCACTATGGGACATGTGGACTGTGGTATGCATTATGCGACATGTGGACTGTGGTATGCACTATGGGACATGTGGACTGTGGTATGCACTATGGGACACGTGGACTGTGGTATGCACTATGGGACATGTGGACTGTGGTTTGCATTATGCGACATGTGGACTGTGGTATGCACTATGGGACATGTGGACTGTGGTATGCACTATGGGACATGTGGACTGTGGTATGCACTATGGGACACGTGGACTGTGGTATGCACTATGGGACATGTGGACTGGGGTTTGCACTATGGGACACGTGGACTGTTGTATGCACTATGGGACATGTGGACTGTGGTATGCACTATGGGACACGTGGACTGTGGTATGCACTATGGGACATGTGGACTGTGGTTTGCACTATGGGACATGTGGACTGTGGTTTGCATTATGCGACATGTGGACTGTGGTATGCACTATGGGACATGTGGACTGTGGTATGCACTATGGGACATGTGGACTGTGGTATGCATTATGGGACATGTGGACTGTGGTATGCACTATGGGACATGTGGACTGTGGTTTGCATTATGGGACATGTGGACTGTTGTATGCACTATGGGACACGTGGACTGTGGTATGCACTATGGGACATGTGGACTGTGGTATGCACTATGGGACATGTGGACTGTGGTATGCATTATGGGACATGTGGACTGTGGTATGCACTATGGGACACGTGGACTGTGGTATGCACTATGGGACATGTGGACTGTGGTTTGCACTATGGGACATGTGGACTGTGGTATGCACTATGGGACACGTGGACTGTGGTATGCACTATGGGACATGTGGACTGTGCTTTGCACTATGGGACATGTGGACTGGGGTTTGCACTAAGAGACATGTGGACTGTGGCATGCACTATGGGACATGTGGACTGGGGTTTGCACTAAGAGACATGTGGACTGTGATATGCACTATGGGACATGTGGACTGTGGTATGTGAAATGAATCACAGCTTGACATACACTACAAATAATCAATTGTGTCTAAAATTTCTGTCGTCATATAAACGTGATATTCAGCTGTTACCTTTTAGGTTCAAATAACACAGCTGCCTGGCAGTGATTATTTTCTTTCACAACGGGTCCTATTTTGTCCTCCCAGAACAATAAGTGTAGAACTCATAGACAGAATTCTGACTTTAATCTAACTCTGACTCAAATGCATTTTCAAAATGTCGCAGTGACAGAATCGGGCATAGTTATGACCTTGACAAGATGGAGGTACACATACTATTTCTGAGTCTGCTTGTCCTGCAAGCATTATGCTAACTGCAATCATCTCAGCAGTTACTGGTGAATACACTGCAGTGATTAGCCTTGCTCCAAGGCTATACTGAAAGATAAGTCCATGGATGTGTAGAAATTCTATCCTCTTAATAGGCAAGTCTAGATATGTGGACAGGCCTCCAGTCTCTTTTAAGGACAACTTGTTCTTTTTTACATAATCTAGAAATTATGATTGAAACTGATAATTATTGCCTAGACTTAGATTTGTGCAACTCAAAGGACTCCAGTCTCTTATAGGGACATCTGTTAACTTACATAATCTAGAAATTATGATTTAAACTAATAAAATATTGCTCTTAGAGACTTGTGCAAGTCTATACAGTGATGTAAGTGGGCTACCCCTATTTCAGCTGTGAACAGCTAACTGTCAGTTATCACTGTGATGCAGGCAGTGGAGTCATGGGTGAGTGAGTGAGTGAGTGAGTGAGTGAGTGAGTGAGTGAGTGAGTGAGTGAGTGAGTGAGTGAGTGAGTGAGTGAGTGAGTGAGTGAGTTTGGTTTAATGACGCTTTTAACATTATTCCAGTTATATCACGGCGTGTCAGCCTAATGTGGGAGGAAAGCCCGAAGTGATGCAGGTCTCGGACTAGGGATGGCGTATTGACACATAAATCGTATTGCAATATATCACAATATGAAGAGCAGTATTGCCATACACATTGCGATACATTTTGTTTGTTTGCTGTTTAATGCGGCACTTAGCAATATGACGGCAGTCTGTAAAATAATTGAGTCTGGACCAGACAAACCAGCGATTGACATCACAAGTATCGCAATACATATTAGGGACAAAAATTGCAAATATTAGTACTGTTCAAATGGTAATTCTTCATTCAATAATCCAGACTTCAGATTGCAAGATGGGTAGCATGGATAAACAAGACTATCTATTATGTCATCAATATGGAATATTAATGTAAACAGTGTGAAGCGTGTGCTGTTTACATGGTTTAGATAGGAACCCAGTCCATCCAAATGACTCAAGACACTAAATATAATTTATATAATTATAGTTTAATTCTCCTGGGACTGTATCAGAAAATATTGATACGAAGGTTTGTATTGCGATATGTGTATTACTGATGGACATATTGCAATATATCCGTATACCAGTTATATTGCAGTCCTAGTGAGGTCATCTAACAGATGCATCCTAAACTTGTCAGCATATTGACAGGATTAACCTCTTTGGTAACGTGGACAAGGCATCTGGATCAGATGATCCCTGGTTCGAATCCCATTCTATGGCATCTACAACTGTGTGTCAGTAACCAAGGTAACTCGGTATGCAGGAGAACAGACCAATTGTCTGTTGTTCAATCCCGCACTCAGCAGTATTCCAGCTGCATGAAAGTGGGCTGTAAATAATTGAGTCTGGACCAGATAATCCAGTGATTGATATTACACACCACCTACAAAGTTATACACAATGTAACATAGAAACCGAACACCTAGTGCTACTGTATTGGCTATGTATCAATATGTTGCATCACAATGGGTCCATGCAGAGGACTTGATTTTGACAATCACCATGTGTCACCCTGATGATATCAAAGCAACATCTGATCTTGTATCCTGTTTGTGGGTCTAGACTATCAAAGGACAGGTGACTCTCAGATTTGATCTATCTTCAGTGAGTGTGTCAGACCAATCTAGTTTTCAATGAACTGACTCAATATTTACAAATAATTTACAGGGATGCAACATACCGTACTTGACGTAATAAATGCCTGCGCTAATCAGCTTATAAGTGCCAATGGTGATATTTGCTAATATATTGGCTAGTGAACAATCCCAATTAGCACACCTTCGGATTGATCAATGTACACAAGACTTATTTATTCACGTATAATATGCACCCTTAATTATGAGCAATTAATTTCTGGAAAATGCATCTGGTGTGTATGATACCACGGACCTATATAACCAAGTCTGTGATGATACACACATACTTTTCTTTTGTATCATTTCAGGCATAAACTACAAAATTTACGATCTTTCAACTCTAATATTCTCACCAAAATTATATTCTAATAAGAGCCCATTATTTCTAATTTTGAGAGTGCCCTGGGCGCTTATTACGTCAAATACAATACCTGAAACATTTACTAGTCTGAATAGTGATTAGAAATATGGCCCCCCCACTTCCTTCCTACACAGGGATAGACACTGCCACTACTGCGTAAGCTCAAGACTTGTAAAACTTTTAGAGGGACAAGTTGTTTTTATCCAAAATCTAGTTATTTTACATAAACTACAAGTCCAAATTGAGCGGTGGACTCATTGGATATGAACAATACCCCTACACACCCACACACAACAAAGTCCGAAACATTAACCTTTAAAGTTTGGGATTTGGGAGATCTTTAACATTAAGAATATGAAATTCTACCTGCTTTTGAGATACCTTTTAACATTATAGACAAACTGACTAGGCTAGAGCAAATTTCCATACCTGTGTCATATATATATAAGTTCATGGGTATATGAGCTCAATACAAAAGTTGCTTATTCTGAATTTACATTCATTTAGTGTTCGCAGACATAATCAAATATAGCAACAGGCTACCTCTGAGCTCAGGTATCAATTCAATACAATATCCACCATAAGTGTCCGAAATAACTGCCCGACTGCCTGCCCGTGGCTGGTAACTTTTCTGTTGGGCTGCATGAAATTGTGCTCCACCTGCCTGACTGTCTGGCAAATAATTGTCAGACTACTTACATATTCAATTTTATTATACTCCCTGAAGATTCTCAAGTAATTGTTTGCATTATTTTACCTGAATCAAGATGCAATTTGTCTCTTATGTTTTGTGATTTTTCAATATTTATAATGTCTAAATGCAGGCAGGTAACTTGGAAGATGGGCAGGCAACATTTATGAGTCACCCGTCTTGTTGGGTTTCAAAATTATTTCAAACACTGTCGACCATACATCTTACTGAAGTCTATGTCAAGATGGCAAAATGCAGGTTCATAGTGGGGTGACATTGAGGTTGACAAGGTCAGACAACCCCACTATCAATCATTGCACATGTCAGAATAAATGATCATGATCAAGCCAGGCAGACAGTAAGGAACATGTGCATCTCAATCTTGAAGATTCAACACCATACAAAAGCAGACTTAAAATTCCCAGGCATTCAGTCAGTGAACTTACAATGACCACGGATCTGTTAAACCCTGTCATGATAATGTGCAACTGTTGCTGGGCTGGAGATGTATTTCTTGAAGGTTATTCCTGTGCAGTCCACTCATTCAGCAGCCATTGCCAGCACACTATAGGTCACGTGACCAGCCTAATGAAAAGCTATTTTTAGATGAGGAAACACCTGAGGCCAGTTTAGGGTTGTAAATTGCTTGGATGAAGTGTCTCATAAGTGATGTTGTCTGCATAGCATTCCTAGTTGGACTATTTTTAAAATATGCCTCCTGAAGCTTAATATTTTCAATTAACATGTTTGTCCCTGTCATGATGTAGTCTCTAGTTGCACAAATAAAAACTTCAAGATCTGTAAATTTGGCAGATCCTAAACTGGGAAGATGTAGACCCTTCTTCATCATCATCATCATCATCATCATCATCATCACTTCTATATGACATACAACTCACCACAAGAATCTGAAGTTCTGACTAAAACTTATTACCTTTTCAAAAACAAACAACCCTCTCCATATATAGAAATACCTGTTGTTTGTATTTATAGGTTGTGAAATAGGGTTTCTAGTGACCTGCATGTGTATGTGCATGTGTGTGCTTGCTTGTACTAGTCCAGACTAATGCCAATTTTATAGTGCTTTCCACCAATCAAATTATTCGAGCCTATCCCAGATCACCATGACCATGTAGGACTACAAAAGGGTATTATGCACAACAGACCACACAGCTGTGCATTGCAGTGCAGACCCTGGCGACCTCCTTCCTTAGTGTTCAGTGGGAGTGACATATTAAAAGCAAAATCAATAAATTCATGTGAAGCAATGGCCTGTGTAAACTAAGTGTCTAATGATAGTTTATTCAACTTCTTATGCTAAGTGATGTGTACAAAACCTGTAGGGACTGAAGAAGCCTAAGAAACTAGCAGCCTTAAAACTTTAGGTCCTGCATCCTTGAGGTTTGCTGACATACTGTGGACCATAAATTTCTTAAACTTTTAACATTTGGGTTATTATGACATGGACTCCTTGACTTTCATATTTAACTTCACAGATTACAGGAATTACAGTCAGTCCCCTTGGCAGGCAATTATTTAGCATTTCTTAAATTTAGTATTTTAACATTGTTTTCAATGAAACAATGTAAAACAGCACAGGGTGAAACGATACATCTGTGCACTGGTGCATCATGAGTCTTCATGCAGCGATACGATACTCAATTATTATTTTTTCTGCAGCGATACAAGGATGACAATAAAACACCTGCCAACCCTTTGCAGCAGAAACATTTGAGACAATCTTTATTGGAGTGTAACGATTAAGAATGTATCTCAGCATTGCACCTGTACACCTGCTGACATGATACACAATACATCTCACCATGAGTCAGTTCATAACTTCATATGTCAATAATGTATAGATTTTCAGTACTGTTTATGACGTTTTGCAATAACTGCCCTTGCTTGTGTTATCTTACCTCCATCATGAAACAAGATGATAAATCTGTTTGCATAATACTTTTAAAACGAGCCTCGCTTATATCGTCATGTGAGTAAATGAGTGAGTGAGTATGGTGTTACGCCACTTTAAGCACTATTCCAGCAATATCATGCCTGGGACACCAGAAATGGGCTTCACACATTGTACCCATGTGGGGAATCGAGCCTGGGTCTTTGGCGTGATGAGCGAACGCTTTAACCACTAGGCTACCCCTCATGTGAGTAAGACGTAAACTGGTAGAGAGCGGGAACCTCTGTTTACCTTGGCAAAACTGCAGATCATGCAAAAAATAAAACAAAATAAGTATTGTGATATCATATGTATCAACATTTAGGTGTATCATGACACCCCTAAAAACACAACAATCCTATGTGATAACAGAATACATGTATATTATAATATTGTCTTGTTTTAGTGCTATAAATTAAGTGAGTGAGTGAGTGAGTGAGTTGGGTTTAACGCCGCTTTTAACAGTATTCCAGTTATATCGCGGCGTGTCAGCTTAATGTGGGAGGAAAGCCCGAAGTGATGCAGGTCTCAGACGTTTACCACTTCGGTGAAACCCACGAGCACGGGTATGGTGCTGACAAACCTAGAAACATAATCGGGGCGAACCGGGATTCGAACCCACAATCATAGGTTTCTGGCGTGCCCAAGGGACGCAACTCTGCACAGCGAATCGCGGCGCCTTAGACGACTGGGCCACCCGTGCCCCCGCTATAAATTAAGCTGAATCATAACTTTTGTAAACTTTGTTGTTTGACGCTGCAATATTACCATGATTACAGCTATATGAAGGCAGTCTGTAAATAATCCAGTGATTGACATTGAGCTACGCAATTGGGATACGATGACATGCATCCACCAAGTAAGCTTGACAACCCAATCCTGTTCGTCAGTCAGTACGAGAAGCATGGTTTGCTGAAGACCAGTTCTAACCTGGATCTTTCGTAACCATACGGATCATTGATGGATAAATTAGTTTCCATCCTCGGCCGAAATAATGCACCCACAGTGAGAAGGATGTTTTGATAATAAATAACACTCCCCAGTGTATTCCCCGATTTGGTTGCAGAATTTACAAAATTTTACCGCTAAGTTTTATTTTAGGGTTCTCTCTGCACTGGGGCAGGTCATAGAGGAGTGACTAATAATACTTGACAATGCTTAAATATCTTTATCTCAATGAATCTATACAGACACCTCAAATATTCAAAGCCATCAAACCAATTCAAACTATCAAGGATTCCAAAAGAATTAACATTAAATAGAACTATTTTTTCTACAAATCTAATTTGTTCTTGTTTCTTATAAATTTATAAAACACATTTTTTTATGCTTAACGTTGCACTGTTGACACAGAACAAGTCTTTTTCAACCACCTCACGCCAAATCAATGGTGCCAACAGGTTTTTTTCGAAATTGGAAACACGGAAAAATTAAATATATTGAAAATTGATATGATCATTGAACGGTATTCAAATTAATGCACATATTATTCTTTTTATATAAATGTTGAATAAAATCGATTTATTACACCCGTAGGATAATTGAAAGATTATTACATTGTAGCACATATTTCTCATATATCGGAGTACAATCAGTGAATCACACGACTATCTTATTGGCCAAATAGCTCGCCAGATCGACAACGAAGTACAGAGTTCATCTATCGTGAGAACTTTGCAACAACAAAAAAAGAAGAATTATCATAGCTAATGAAATGTGACAACCGGTCCTACAAATGTCAGACACAGAACCAATACTGGCAATACAAGTCCGCATGCATTTCGTGTGCGGCGGAAGATAATATTCAGAAAATATCGGACCTACCAATAACTCGCTGCTGTCTGACGCCATGTTTGCGATTAAAATGTTCTCCAAACGTAGAAGAGCGACGCAAAGGGCATTTCAAAATCGATAGAAATTGAAGGCGGGAAAATTCGAATGAGCTATTTTGCCATGTGTGATGAATGTAATAAACACTTACATGGCGCCATGCTGTATACCCGCGCGGTGCAGCTCATCAGCTGTGGAGAGACTAGAACGGCATTCATGACTAGGTTCAGCGATCTGGTGTCCCTTTCAAATATCTTACACACCAAAATCACACTGGACGTTGTCTAATATTGTTCCAGCCGTTCCATATGAATCTTCGTCCACAATGTGTTTGTTTATATACACCTTCTAAATTAAGTTAGAAAACAAACACGGTGTTTTTTTAGCAAGATCTTTAATCAAACTTGTTAATTAGGTCTGACAATGCATTAATTGACTTTGGCTTGCATGTGCAGGTAGGTTTGGTTAATTACGCATTTAATTATTATAGGAGGGGGGAGGAGTGAGTGAGTGAGTTTGGTTTAATGCCGCTTTTAACAGTTTTCCAGTTATATCACGGCGTGTCAGCTTAATGTGGGAGGAAAGCCCGAAATGAAGCAGGTCTCAGACGTTTACCACTTCGTTGAAACCCACGAGCACGGGTATGGTGCTGACAAACCTAGAAACATAATCGTCCCCAGGGCGAACCGGGATTCGAACCCACAATCATAGGTTTCTGGCGTGCCAAGGGACGCAACTCTGCACAGCGAATCGCGGCGCCTTAGAGGTGTGTGTGTGTGTGTGTGTGGGGGGGGGGGGGGGGGGGGGGGGGGGGGGGGGAGCTAGGAGGGATTGGGACTGTAAAAAATAGAACTGTCAGAGTTTCAGCCCCTAGCTCCCCATAGTTGTCATACATTTAGCGACCCCCTCTTTCTCTGTAATGTTTCTCCCTTCTCCCATATTTAAATGTTGTCAAGGTTTTTTATTTCAATTAGTTTGGATATGGGGAAATCAAAACATGATAGTATATTCAGAAAGTAAACATGAAACACAGAATATGCTTTAATAACATCACAAAACTATGGCCATACACGGATGTGAAATTAATTACTTTCGTTCATAATATATACTACCTAGTTAATTAAAACTCATTAAGCGATATAGGTCTTACAATCACACATCCATCTACAACTTAAAATAGGTAATCACTTCTACAAACATACTAACTGGTTTGTTTTGTTAACGTTAAGGTGATTAGCCTCCAGTGATAAGGACAATATATGCACATATCTAGAAGCCCCCCATGAACATTTTGGTCTTTGAACAGCGACCCATGCTTGTCGTAATAGGCGACTAACGGGATTGGGTGGTCAGGCTCGCTGACTTGGTTAACGCATGTCATCGTATCCCAACTGCGTTGTAACGGGATCGGGTGGTCAGGCTCGCTGACTTGGTTGATGCATGTCACCGATCCCAATTGCGTGCATCGATGCAGATGTTGTCAATCACTGGATTGTCTGGTCCAGACTCGATTATTTACAGACCGCCGTCATATAGCTTGAATATTGCCGAGTGCGGCGTTAAACAACAACCAAGCTGCGTAGATCGATGCTCATGATGTCAATTACGGTAATATCTGGTCCAGATTATTTACAGACCACAGTCATATATAGCTGGACTATTGCTGAGTGCGGCATTAAACACAAAACACAGCCATATTGTTTTATGTGTTTCTCATCTCCATCCTCATCCAGCAAGAGAGCGGGTAGGCGAAAAGATCCCCAAACAATCTGTTTTTTCACAAATTGTATAACTTATTTGAAGACATTTTAAAGTTTAAAACACTTAGTACCGGTCTTTAAATTAATTTATGGCCTAGATCGAATGGTTTTGTTTCGGAAACGAATTTATAATATTTTAATATAGCTAAGAAAGATCAAGCTGATCGGTTTTTTTAATGAGTGCGCAATGGTAGGAGTACTTGTTTTATCACATCGAGGCATAAATTTCCGCAGCGGCGGGGACAACTGAGGTAAGAAAACTTGTTATCATTTCACATCGGAAGGAAAATTCAGGGACGTGGGAGATGGCAAACACAGAAAAATGACGGAAAACCTAAAACTGTTATTTGATTTCTAAACACACATGATCATTTCCTTTATTTATACACACACCCCCATTTGTCACACCCCATCAACAAATGGTGAGGTTGGGGTTTCGACGGGAGGGGTGAGATATTTTCTTGGACTTTATCATTATTAAGTATATATGTTGCTGGCCCCCAAACCCCAAACCACTATAAGGAATGACTAGTCCCCCTTATTAGTGTTGAAATTTATATTAAAAAATATTTAAAAAAATAGAACTGACAATTTGGCCGACAATGCCACCACCTCCCAACATTCGCTTATAAATTATTCATAACTTTTTGATAGGCATTTAGAAGTTGGAGTACTAAGTAAAGATAAGAATTTATGGATGAACAACTTCTTTATTACAATTAAGAGCGACGTTTCAGTGTATATTCTAACACCTTTATCAAGCAAGTGATTTATAGAGTGTGGTTGACAAGAATATGTACAAGTAGGAGGAAATGTTTATACAGTAGAGTAGGTATTGTTATACTGGAGTAGAGAAGCCTGTTATGTACACACAAGGGTAGTGATGACAATCATCGGTGAAGTCAGTAACATAAACAAAGGATGAAGCCAGTAATATAAACAATAGGATTATGGCTGATCCACAATCATTATGGCTGATCCCATAAACCTACTCTACTGTATAAACATTGCCTCCTACTTGTACATATACTTGTCAACCACACTCTGTATATCACTTGCTTGAACCGAAACGTCGCTCTTAATTGTAATAAAGAAGTTGTTCATCCATAAATTCTTATCCTTACAGGGGCGGTCGGGTAGCCTAGTGGTTAAAGCTAGCGTTAGCCCGTCACGCCCGAAGACCCGGGTTCGATTCCCGACATGGGTACAATGAATGCAGCCCTTTTCTGGTGTCCCCCGCCGTGATATTGCTGGAATATTGCTAAAAGCGGCGTAAAACCATACTCACTCACATATCCTTACATATATTTATACTCAGGCCGCATTTTAAGTTAATCTCACACACACCCCACTCAATCACTGTGATCAAGGTGATATATAGCTGTAATATTGCTGATTGCGGCGCCAAAAAACATTCACCCACTCTAGTAATTTCACTCTGCACATTTATAGTGATAGTTATCTAAGTCCCCGTGATACCAGTATCGTTTTGATTCCTTTCAAAAAAATAAATAAAAAGGGATAGCAGCTCCAGATCTATATTCCTCAATCTTTCATTGTTAATTTGTATTCATTATGGTTGGACTAGTAACAACATATTCTCATACATGTGTTTCACGTGATACACACATTCTATCGCATTGGTTGTCTCTTAAGGACAAGGAAGCTTCGGAGTGTGACGTATACATGTATACATACATGTGTGCATGCAGTAAAATCCCAATGAAATTCATTGGGTCTATAAATATATCTTCTCGTGAGTCGTCTCCCTTTTGTATTACTACCCAAAAACAGTATTTTATTGATAATCCATTTAATCCGAAAATAAAGTTCACCAATGGTAGACTATAGACATTTTTCGTAAGTGATTACTAGTACAGTTGTCAGAAAGTTTGAATGTTTCCGAAAAGCTATGAATTTTAGAACTATTTTGTCATGTGGAAGTACTCGAGTCGTGAACAAGCTGACTTCCGCCATATGGAAAGCGATCAATAATATTTGACTGTAGTCTATTGAAAAGCGGATGAAATGTTCAGAATATGATTCACTCATAGTGCTACAGTACTTATTCCATTTTTTCTTGATTGATATTTTGTTTAAGTTTCTTTTGTCAGTGTAAGTTTTGTACAATGGTGATCGCGGCGGATACCCCTATTCCTCCTGTGTACGATGTGGTGTTTGTGGTGGAAAAGACAGCAAATTTAGCTGCATATCTGGAAACCCTAAAATCATCGTATATTGTGCCTACTTTGGAGTAAGTATAAAGTTTGTATTTTTTTTCTATAATTAATTGATCGCTGATCACGCAAGCTCGTGTCGATATAGATCTATAGAGATCAAATGTCAACATCATGTCACGGTCGATCCTTATAAGTCTAAATGTCACAGTGGACAGGTGCTTGTTTTGCCTCTTGATCAATTAAATCTTGCCATTTCTTGACACGTACCATCAATTGAAATACAGCTGACTGTCCTTGTCTCAAATGGTGATGTAAAGCATTGAAATATCCTGACATAATTATGACATACGTAATTACATGGTCTAATCTCTCTTTGCTTCGTTGGTTTAAGTGTTCCAAAAATAAACATAAGATTTGCCATGTTTAATCTTTTGCCATGTTTGCTATGTTTTGCCGTTATTGAAGTATGTTTTAAATTACCTACTATGAAAGCGTAATGTTTTCTAACAAATTTAAATTTGAATATTTTTTTTTTTTAAGAACATGGTGGAAATCTTCCCCCCCCCCCCCCCCCCCCCCACATAAATAGGAGTCCATGGTTATAAGCCCATTGCCATGATTACTCAGCAGAATCTTGGCCTTTACTAACTAGTTTAGGTTATCTTTTAAAGAAGCATTTTAAACTCTGTTCAGTTCCAGGAATTGAAACCACAGCATTGAATTTATTGATTTGAAAAAAAATCCTTTATCATTCTTATCTGATGTTTTCATGATACGCTGACTGCTTTAATTCTTGAGATGCTTATGCTGAGAAAAGGAATGTTTGAGATCAAATGTAACACGTATGTTGAATGAAACATGTTTTTGTATGGAATATACTGTGTAAACATAAGAATGATGGGATTGTTTGTCTTGCATTATTATTTTGTTTCATCCTGTAAACAGGGTTAGAAACTAACAGTTTTTGTCCACTAGTCTTTACAACATGTACAATGATTACATATAGCAAAACCCTTAAAATGGGCCAATTTCTTCTAGTCCTTAGATACCCTTACTATTGGGCAGTTTGGTAAGGACTACAGGACTAGTGCCAACTTCTAACACTGGTAAACATGGTCAATGATTTTAAGTATGTTTACCAACTAGTTTAATTATTTATATCAAACAAAAAAGTATTGTTCCACATACCATTTTCAGATACTTCAATGGAGGTCCACCTGATCCAACTGACTACGGCAATGATGTAAGTTATGAATCTATCTTTCTGTAGCACATGATAGATAGCATACATGTGATCATGGTGATTACAGCTTGTTTTACTTCTGTTGTTATTAGGGGCGGTCGGGTAGCCTAGTGGTTAAAAGCGTTCGCTCGTCACGCCGAAGACCCGGGTTCGATTCCCGACATGGGTACAATGTGTGAAGCCCATTTCTGGTGTCCCCCAGCGTGATATTGCTGGAATATTGCTAAAAGTGGCGTAAAACCATACTCACTCACTCACTCTATTGTTATAAGCAAAATCGAGAAAGGCGACACTAGTTTCTGGGGCTATGTGCTGGCCCCAAAACTGTATTGCAATATATTTGTAGCTGAAGTATTGGATTGTGAGTAGTCCTGCACCATGACCGTGTAATATATCTATTTTAAGAAAAATAAATAAATCTAGAAACGCATACAAAAGCAAGTCTAGCCAGTTCAAGCTAGCTCTATTCCACATCTGAAATCAGCATAGGGAATTTTTTAAAATTTTTAGAGTCAAGAAGGATATTGTGTAATATAAGATTTCAGAGACTAAATGTTAGTCTAGATTGTGAGTAACACTGATTATTCATGCAGATCCGAATGTGAGAAGATATCACTTCAGCGTTTCTGCCATTTTGTCAATCAATTCCGAAGGGAAACATCACTTGTTAATGAATTTCTGTGTATATTTTAGGTTAAATGGTACAAGTAAAAACCAAACTTGTATTGTTTTACCCATAATATCAGAATGCGGAATGTTTGTTTGCAATACATAACGTTTGAAAAACCTATTGCAGTATTCCTGTATACCGGTGGTATCGTGCAGACCTGCTCATTTCATCTTATGATGACAGCAGCAGTAGAAACTAACAGTTTTCGTCCACTAGTCCTTATAATGATAACATATAGCAAAACCCTTAAAAAGGGCCAATTTCTACTAGTCCTTATGATACCTTTACTATTGGGCAGTTTGGCAAGGACTATAGCACTAGTGACAATTTCTAACGCTGTCAGACATGGTCTCAGAATGTTTTTTCTTCCAGAACATTGATTAATTGTCCACCCAAATCTCCTTAAGATTTTTTTCTTATATAGTTATGATGTAGAATGTCCATTCAGAGCTCCAGATACCTTTTTGAGCAATTGAGTTTTTGCTCTAGGGTTTCTATTTTTATTGGGTTATTACCATTGGTTGGTTTGTTTGTTGTTTAACGCCCCACTCAGCAATATTCCAGCTATATGACTGCGGTCTGTAAGTTATCTTGACAATCCAGTGATTAATGTCATGAGCATCGATCCACGCTATTGGGATCGATGACATGCATCAACCAAGTCAACGAGCCTGACCACCCGATCCCGTTAGTCGCCTTTTACGACTAGCAGAGTCACCTTTTACGGCATGGGTTGCTGAAGACCTATTCTACCCCGGAATCTTTTCATTGGGTAACCAATATCTTTTCACTCATCTATTCATCACTCAATTGGGTTTTTCCCAAAATTAGTGAACATTTTAAGATTTAAAAAATATGAAATAATGTTCTAAATATATAGGCTTGACTCTGAAAGTAAATTAGGTTGTAATTGTGTTTCGGAAATCAGGTCCAATGTACACATGCTGAAAAATTTTCATTGGGTATTTACACTCTTTTTGTACATTTGAGTTTTTTATTTAAATTTTAATGCATGCGTTTCTGTACGAAAGTTAATTGAAAGTAATTGGGTTTTGAATATTTTAAGGGTGGGGGGGGGGGGGTTTACGCAAATACACTCCTTATATGTAGCTGTGTCCATTAAACATGTTCAAAAGTTGATAAACTTATGAAAATGTCCAGAGCCATTTGACTCTTTCAAAACCACTGGATCAGCAAAGGGGATTCTTGACAGGAAATATTAATAATAAACCAGATCACATCATCATTATTATGAAGATGGATAACTTTGGAAAAGAGATGCAGGGAATGCCACATGATTGGTTCATGCGAATAAATATGTGAGTTAGTTCCTGCAGACATTGCTTCCTGAGGGCGGTGGGGTAGCCTAGTGGTTAAAGCGTTAGCTCATCACGGTGAAGAACCGTGTTTGATTCCCATGGGTATAATGTGTGAAGCCCATTTCTGGCATCCCCGCCGTGATATTGCTGGAAATTGCTAAAAAGCGTCATAAAACCATTTTCACTCACTCATTGCTTCCTGAAAACCTGATTTCACAACAAAACTTTGCACTTTTTGGCAGACATGCTAACATGAATACATTGTAAAATAACACAGCTGATATAGCAGATGTCATGTAAAGCAAACAGTATCATTGATGCTGAGTGAGTGAGTGAGTGAGTGAGTGAGTGAGTAGGGTTTCACACCGCTTTGAACAGTATCCCAGTTATATCAGCTTATTGTGAGAGCATAGCCCGAAGTGATGCAGGTCTCATACATTTACCACTTTGAATTTGATGTAATCCATGAGCATGGGTATAGTGCTGAGAAGCCTAGAAACATAATTGGGGCGAACCATTATTCAATCCCACAATCATAGGCTTCTGGTGTGCCCAAGGGATGCAACTAGGTCTGTAATGATTAATTGATAACTGTGATATCATTGATACTTAGGTACTCACGATACTTCAATGGTCAGTTTGTGAGATCGCGATAAGCTATAAATAGAACAGGAACTAATATAGCTACCTCCCATAATGGCAGAAGTAGCATAGCGTCACCTGTAAGCATGGCAGAACACAAGGACGTGCCTAATAACTGTTACATTTAATAACCATCTCTTCATTTAAAACTGTTTTGTTCTTGTGTTTTTCTTTGTTAATGGTTTGGAGATACAGTGGTCCCTCGCTACAATGCTACCAATGAGGTCCAAATAATTGGTGGGCGTTATAGACGATGACCCGTTTAACCGAGGCCGAGGCGGGGGAGCGCGCTCGGCCAATCTCACGATCTTCACCTTGTCTCGCACACTGCAATGATACAAGTTGTTTACCGTTCATAGTGTAAAAATATATATCCATTAAGTTTTCGCCATTTGTTATTATTTACAAGCCTTAACTGTAACATTCAATGTGAATGTAGTCTACTGACATGAAAATATCGATCGATAATGGTAGTAACAGACGCTATGAGTGAAGAGCCAATCACAATTCATTACACAAGTACAGAGTGTTTCAGTGGCATTGATTGGTCATGTTGCTTAAAATACGGAACAAGAGTTTTGACCAGCACTATGCGCATTCATATACATTCATACAAATATAGATACACATTCAAGCCAGATTATCTGGTTTGATACGGTTAACTTGATCCAAATCAAAAGGAATGACTGCCGTGTTGTGACAGCAACTACATGTGAGTTGACAGTGTCGCCTCAAATTGGATTGCCCACTAATTAAGAATATAAACTTTGCTTGTGGTTCTCTTTCATTGCATGCATGCGCTTCTAAGATCAAAGGATGTACAGTGTGAAAAGTTAACTAGTAGAACAATCGTATTTCCGGGACTTGCCGCGGATGTTTTCAAACAGATTATTAGAACTCCATTCAGCGATAAACGGTTGATTGTGCAATGAGAAGCGTTATGTGCAAATGAACAACGAACAACAATACAATCATGTCTGTGTAAAATGTTCAGTATTAAAAGTGTACATAAATTTTGGGAGCCATGCCTTACCGCGCGTAGTAACCGAGGTAGCGCTTTATCGAAGAGCACAATAGCGAGGGATCACTGTAGTAATAATAAATGTGTGAAGAAAGTGAGTGAGTGAGTTAGGTTTTACGCCGCTTTTAGCAATATTCCAGCAATATCACGGCAGGGGACACCAGAAATGGGCTTCACACATTGTACCCATGTCGGGAATCGAACCCGGGTCTTCGGCGTGACGAGCTAACGCTTTAACCACTAGGCTACCCGACCGCCCTGTGTGAAGAAAGAGGTTTTAGAGCTGTATTTCAGGGATTTCATCATTTTCTTACTGTTTGATGTGTATCCTGATACAAATCATATTGCAAGATACCAGCCGATACTCCAGCCGATACTCTAGCCAATACTCTAGCCGATAGCTCTAGCTGATACTCTAGCCGATAGCTCTAGCCGATACTCCAGCCGATACTCTAGCCGATACTCTAGCCGATACTCTAGCCGATACTCCAGACCATACTCCAGCCGATACTCTAGCCGATAGCTCTATCCGATAGCTCTATCAGATAGCTCTAGCCGATAGCTCTAGCCGATAGCTCTAGCCTATACTCTAGCCGATAGCTCTAGCCGATACTCTAGCCGATAGCTCTAGCCAATAGCTCTAGCCGATACTCTAGCCGATAGCTCTAGCCGATACTCTAGCCGATAGCTCTAGCCGATAGCTCTAGCCGATACTCTAGCCGATAGCTCTAGCCGATACTCTAGCCGATACTCTAGCCGATAGCTCTAGCCGATACTCTAGCCGATAGCTCTAGCCGATACTCCAGCCGATAGCTCTAGCCGATACTCCAGCCGATAGCTCTAGCCGATACTCTAGCCGATAGCTCTAGCCGATACTCTAGCCGATAGCTCTAGCCGATACTCTAGCCGATAGCTCAAGCCGATAGCTCTAGCGGATACTCTAGCCGATAGCTCTAGCCGATAGCTCTAGCCGATACTCTAGCCGATAGCTCTAGCCGATACTCTAGCCGATAGCTCTAGACACAACCATGCACAGCAAGTTTCCCCTCCTTGAATATTTTATTAATTACACACAAATAATGGAAATTATTAGGGCTGCAACAAATACACAATGAGGCGAGTATGAATAAAGGGTGACAAATACGAATATTTATTCACGAATACAATAACAAGTTACTTCCGGTGTTACATGCTCACGGTAATCAGCTGGTATTGTCTTTGCATGGGGAAAAAACATTGTCTCAGTGTAAAACTTGAGTTTATTAAAAATGTACGTAAATGTACATAATGTAATTGGTTAGGTTGAAACATTTCTGTGATATTTCTTGTGAAGCAAACAAGCAATACATTGCAACAGTGACGCTTATACTATAGCCTCATGTTTTGGTTGACAGCACCATTAGGGGCCTTGACAAACTGACTCAAGTTACGCTACTGCTGGCTTGTTTATATTCCATTTTGCAAATCTCCCTTTGATAAACATGATAAATAACTGACGAGTTAAAAAACGCTCTTTACTGAAAAATCGTACATATTCGATTCTAGTGACCACGAATAACAAGTTCAATTCATGAGGGTATATGGTTCGATTCATGGAATATGCGAGTGAAGAGTTAGCATGGCTAGAAATGGTTAAGAAAAGTATGAATTGTAATGTTTGAAGGTACTTAGGTAACCATGGTAACCATTGGTAACATGCCTACTTGTGAACAACCCATAATCAATAATTACTAGAGCTGTTAATTAACATCGATTGTGGGTTGTTGACAAGTAGGCATGTAACCAATGGATACCTTCAAACATTACAATTCATACTTTTCTCAACCATTGCTAGCCATGCTAACTCTTCGAGCCTAACTTTATTTGTGTATCCTTAGAAAAGTAACCAGGTAACAAGGCGGATTTTAAAAATTCTGGAATCAACATTTGATCAAGAGCAGTTCGGTGATTTGTGTTTGTAATGTTCATGGACACGTCAATACGGTCTGTGGACAACTGAAATACTGCCACTTTTTCTGCATGCTAATGCTCTAGGTTGTGTGGGGGGGGGGGGGGGGTCGGTTAGCCTTGTGGTTAAAGCGTTTGCTCGTCACGCCGAAGACCTGGGTTCAATTCCGGACATGGGTACAATGCGTAAAGCCCATTTCTGGTGTCCCCTGCCGTGATATTGCTGGAATATTGCTAAAAGTGGTGTAAAACCATGCTCATTCACTCACTCACTCTAGTTTGGCTACACAAGGCATTAAATACCCCTATACATGCTGATATGGTGATACGATCGGCACAGATGACCAAGACAGGTCAAGATCAAACAACAGTGGGAATGACTAGGGTGGTGAGAATTCGTCCTCAGGAACCTATGCTGGTTGTTAGAGGCATCTAAACAATGCTGAACGGATCGGGTGGTCAGGCTTGGTTGATTACGTGTCATCGTGTCCCAACGACATGGGAAGTTGCTCATATCACTGGATTGTCTGGTCCAGATTGTTTTTATTTTATATTCGTGCTGCTGTCATATAGCTGTAATATTGATGAGTGTGGCATCAAATAAATAGATCAAAGTTATTAATGGTTATGACTAGGTAATAATCTGAGCATGATGAATACTAAGATTGTTTTGATTCATTTGTCTGTTTGTGAAATTGTGTCGGCTCCTAGTCCTAGACATTTTAAGGTATTGCTTTAAATGCTACATAGTACATGATTTACATGTACAAGGAAAATAAAGTTAAGCACCTATCAATCATTGTTCTCGTAATCGTCAAGTCATTTCCCTTGCCACTTGATATTTACCATTGTTAAAGTCACCATGGTCATGGTGATGAAACCAGTGGTCCCGCTGGCTTTTGACACTGCCAGTCCTAGTGGACTTGAAACTTGCAAATTACCAGCCCCCCCCCCCCCCCATTTTTGTCAATCCCAACTTTAAATTTTTATTTTTTTTATGAAAATTACCTGCTTTTAATGCATGCAACATCGACTTCAGTGCAATGACATCACCTCTGAAGTAACTTAGTGAGATCTACACATCATTCACACAAAATTCAGTCACAATTTTCTCTGTTTTTTTCTTTCCTACAAATATATATTCAACCTCGAAGCAAAGCAAAATGTTATTTATTTTCACAAAAATATCAACAAGGCGAAACCCTGATGGTTCGAAAACTAAACTTATATGAATATCGCCAATGTTTTGTTCAACAACAAAGATTCATAAGGTACTTTATGAATTACTGGTCCAAGCCTAATTTAAAAAAACGGAAAACTGATAATTACCATGATTACCGGTAAACAGGAACGCTGGAAACTGAAATATTGGTGACTGCAGCGTAAGTCTGCATTAACTCTCGATCTGCTGGGTAGGGTAACAGAGAGTATTTAAGAACTGAAGTGTGTATCCTGTATCTGTTATATTATCCCCCGTCTGTCCACATTTGTTTGTTTAATGCCGCACTACACATAAGTCCAGCTACATGACATTTTTTAGTCTCTCTCACAGTCCCTGAACTGTATCATTTTCCCTTCCGCACAGCTCTTACTGTAATGCTGTCTAGATTTTCCACAGGTTCAGGTTCTGAATCCCCTATGTTACTGGTGCTCCTTTTCAAATAAAAATGTAGCTGCTTGTTTCTTTCAAAATTTTATATTTTTAAAGACTTTAGCATTAATCTAGACATTTACCTTTAACAGTGTAAATATATTGAGTCGGGACCAGGCAGTCTTATGATTAAAATTATCAGCAATGATCCAAGACAAGCCTGACCTTCCATCAATAAAAATGACTCCTCTTAAGACAAGCATAAGTTGTTGGAGACCAATTCGATCCCGGGACCCCTACCATGCCCACAGGGCTACCCCTATACAATGGACAGGTGAAGATTCCGGGGTAGAATAGGTCTTCAGCAACCCATGCTTGCCGTAAAAGGTGACTATGCTTGTCGTAAAAGGCGACTAACGGGATCGGGTGGTCAGGCTCGCTGACTTGGTTGATGCATGTCATCGATCCCAATTGCGTGGATTGATGCTCATGGTATCAATCACTGGATTGTTTGGTCCAGACTCGATTATTGACAGACCACCGTCATATAGCTGGAATATTGCTGAGTGTGGCGTTAAACAACAAACCAACCAACCAACCTATACAATGATATAGGTAGTCCTAGTTAATGCTAATTTTGTTTTGTAATATTTTGTTTTATGTTTCATTACAGTTTAGTTGCACATTGTTCGATCTGGTCACCTTCCATTCCGGGGACATCTCACCAAGCCCTGCAGCGTCCTGTGAATACCCTACGACAAGCACACACAAGTTCCTCTCCTGCCTTGACGAAACTGAGTGAGCACCAGGCCATTGGCATCCCTTCTCCAAGTGCATTATTAATCATGATAATTGATAATGATAATGTGATTTATTATTTTCTAAATTAAGAAATGGTTTTCAATTTATCTCAACAACTGTTAACATGGTCAAAATGTGTAATACTAATAATAAACAGGGTTAGAAACTAACAGTTTTTGTCGACTAGTCCTTATAATGATAACATATAGCAAAACCCTTAAAATGGGCAAATTTCTACTAGTCCTTCGGATACCTTTACTATTGGGCAGTTTGGTAAGGACTATAGGACTAGTGCCAATTTCTAACGCTGATAAATATGGTAAAATATAATGGTTTCGGATTTTTCCAATCATTGCTTGAAAATTCTTTTTCATTATATTATTAGCGTTATTTCACAGAATCACCAGTAATTCTGGGAGAAGATGTGGGTACAGCTGATATGCTATTTCCGACTTAATTTACGAGAAAATACATACATAAAACAATGCCAAGCATATAAACATGATAAAGAAATACAAAATAAATGGTAAAATCATCATGTCTAAGGATCACCTGTTATCACCTGTTCCTTCACATGCAGGGATACTGTGTAGTTTTTACTGCTCATAGCGCGCCAAACTGTTTTTTCTCCAAACTTGTGGATCTCCTTGTAGGGGATGCACATTATACTCAAGAAAATACACTAATGTGTAATAATAGTGCTTCAGGTTGCCAGGGAGACGAGGTCCTTGTGCCCTGAAATAAGTAAATGACCATTCATTACTCAGTGCTCCAGATAATTGTCCAACCATATGAGTACACTACTTGTCATTATCAGAACTGACAAGTACCAGACATACTTTTGAAAGTACGGCACTGCTCGTTTGTAGACTTGACAGTGTCTGATATGATATTGTGCAGTCATCATTCAAAGACCTTCTCTTGTACATTCAGATTTTGGTGCCAAAATAATGTAATCTTACCTGAAACAAGAGAATTCTACTTTTGTTATTAACCAATAGAAATGCAGGATTGGGAGGAAATCCATTTAATGACACGTAACGACGTATTCCCGTTTAAGCGGAAATTATTGCCCGATACGGTAAACAGAAGTTTAATGATGTTTTCTAGAACGTTTATAATTGTTTATGAGAATAAATAGACATGGTATGGTAACAAATAATCATGAGAGAATATAATATATTTTTCATCCACGAATATGATACGGTTGTATTTACAATGAGTCAGAATTTGACTAGTTTTGATCCGTATGATTCGCCGATGCGTCATCTATCTGGAGCACTGATTATGCTGATCGATATGGCTCCCTCTATCCTTGTATTTCTGATACCTGGTCAAACATTTGCACAGGTTACCTGGCAATTGGTCACTTATCTTATGGTGTTAACATCAATCTGGAGCTGTTATATGATGTGCAAAAGAATTTCTGACACCTGCTAGAGTCAATTTTAGTCTTTGTAATGTTCATGTTATTGTGTTCATGGTATTGGACTGGATTATAAAGCTGAAGTATGTTTGTTTCAGGTTTATTGGAGGTGAGGCCCAGTCGTACAGTCACATTGCAGAGGGCCTGAGCACAGCATTACAAGTATTTGATGAAATCAAGGCAACCAGAAACCACAGGTAAGTCTATGGTTGTTGATATTGATTTGAAAATTGTTTAGTTCTGCTTTACTGATAAAATGTTAAGTTTGTTTGTTTGTTTAACGCTGCACTTAACAATATTCCAGTTACATGATGATGGTCTGTAAATAATCGACAATCCAGTGATTGACATCATGAGCATCGGTCCATGCAATTTGGATACGATGACATGCATCAACCAGGTCAGCGAGTCTGACCACCTGATCCCGTTAGTCGCCTCTTACGACAAGCATGGTCACCTTTTATGGCAAGCATGGGTTGCTGAGGACAATCTGAATCTTCATGGGTCAAAAAGAGGTCAAGTAGCCAGTAGAACTAGCAATGTAGCAGTAAGGGCTAGTGCTTATTTTGAGCCTGCTCTTATGACATGGGTTAATTTGGGACCATTTCTACCCCTGAACCCCATGGTATTAGTGGAATGACTTACTGTAAATCAGGAGGCATGGGTGGCCCAGTTGTCTAAGGCGCCGCAATTTGCTGTGCAGAGTTGCGTCCCTTGGTCATGCCAGAAAACCTATGATTGTGGGTTAGAATCCCAGTTCGCCCCGATGATGTTTCTTGGTTTGTCAGCACCATTCCTGTGCTTAGGGTTTCACCAAAGTGGTAAACGTCTGAGTCCTGCATCACCTCGGGCTTTCCTCCCACATTAAGCTGACACGGTGTGATATAACTGGAATACTGTTAAAAGTGGCGTTAAGCACCCACACCCACTCCCACACTCACTCCCACACTCACTCCCACATTCACTCCCACACTCACTCGCTCTCTCTCGCTCGCTCACTCACTCACTCACTCACTCACTCACTCACTCACTCACTCACTCACTCACTCACTCACTCACTCACTCACTCAGTATAGTTCAAGGCAAGGCTACTCACATTGATTTCTTGATTCATTTCAGACCATGGCCCCGTTCCACAAAGCGACTGTAGTGCTAAGATGATCGTAACTGTTGTGTTAGGTTTGTTAACATGATGTGAGCGCCAATGTGCAAGCCATACATCATGTGCCCCAGCAGCGGGAGTGACGTCATCACGATTTATCTTTGGCTAGCTACGAATAAATTATCATTCAGTTCTGACATCTTTTTGCTTCATGCTCCGCCCAGTTTAGGTGCGGGTCATACAAGTACCTGAGCAGGATGTACAGTCTTACAAATAACTCCCATACTTTAACATAAACTTACGACAGTCGTAGCGCTAAGATCGCTTTGTGGAACGGGGCCCTGATTTGGTTACACATTACATTCGTGGTTTACAGCATGTGGTTGTTGTTTCAGCATCCCGTCGGAGCGGCACTGTGTGCTGGTGTGCAACTCGCCTCCGTACCACCTGCAGAGCCAGGAGAGTCAGGACTACTCTGGATACTACAGTGAACAGCTGGCCAGCATGCTTGGCAAGGTACACACCATCACTTACTGTCACCATCCTCGCTTATCCACGGTATTATATCTCCGTTCTGTAAGATAAGTACCCTGGACCCAATCACCACTTGCAGGGCTCGATTTAATTACATAAAACATGCACCAGTGCCACCTATTATTGAAAAGTGCAACCTGATATTGATGTCCACATGCACCAAGTGCATGTAATACATTCTGAAAGATGTGCCTGACTAACCCTTACTTTTACACTTTTACAACGTTTTTCAAACACACTCCATACCTCTCAGTTTCATGTACCACACTACAACACTTTTTGTTGTGTTTTGTTCTTCTTGGGCGTGATGTCATCAAACTGGGTATTTAAAGATTATGTGCACATGTTCCTATTACATTTCACAGCGATACATCAATTCAGAGCTACAGATAAGCTGCTTATTTGCGTAAAACACTCCCCCCAAAAATTAAAACCCAATTACTTTCTATTATCTTGCATACAGAAACGCATCCAGTAAATGAAAAACTCAAATGTATAAAAACAGCACGCGTAAATACCCAATGAAGCTTTTTCAGCATGCATACAACGGAGCTAATTTCCGAAACACAGTTACAAGCTAATTTACTTTCCGAGTCAAGCCTATATATTTAGAACCGTTATATACATCTTAAACATTATTTCATTTCTTTTTAAATCATAAAAACTTAACTTATTTTGGGAAAAACCCAATAGAGTGATGAATGGATGAGTGAAAAAATACCAGTGGTTACCCAATGAAAAATGTGATAACACAATTACAATACAAACCCAAGAGTAAAAACTCAATTGCTCAAAAAGTTATCTGGAGATTTTTCAGCATGCGTACAAAGGAACTAATTTCCGAAACACAATTACAAGCTAAATTTACTTTCCGAGTCAAGCCTATATATTAAGACCAGTTATCATGGTTATGTACATCTAAAACATTATTTCCTTTTTTTTTAAATTTTAAAATGTTCACTGTTTTGGGGGAAAACCCAATAGAGTAACGAATAGATGAGTGAAAAATATTGGATATGCTATGAAAAATGTAATAACCCAATTAAAATAGAAACCCAAGAGTAAAAACTCAATTGCTAAAAAGTTATCTGGAGCTCTGTAAATTTATGTAAAATCATGGTGCAGACAGCAGAGATCTGAAATTTTAGTAATTTAGACTCCTTTTCAACACTCATACATTTTTAGGCCTTCTGGTTTTGTCTGGTGCAACTAGGTTTTTATGTCAACATGCACTTTGTGCAAGTTACGTAAAGTTCCTTAAATTGAGCCCTGCTTTGTTTTGGGTCCAGTTTGAAATAGGCAAAGCTAAAACTAGCTTCCACTCAAATTACCATGATTATGCTCAAAAGTGATAGAGCATCCGACTGGAGAGCGAAAGGTCCAGGGTTCGATCCCCGGCCGCGTCATACCAAAAGATGTTAAAAGATGGTACTTGTTGTTACCCTGTCTCGCGCTCGGCATTAAGGACTGGTCGGCTCAGAGTCAGTATACTGTGTCTGCGTGGGGTATTCATGTTAAACTGCGGCATGGTATCTCAGTGAGCTAGCACTATAAATCGGCATCGGTCCGGACTAGTACAAGCAGCCCCACAAACACACACACGTACATGCATGTCGCTATATAAGTGCAATAATCTTGGACGCGACGTTAAACCCCATTTCACCTCACCTCACCTCACCTCACCTCACCCAAAAGCGAAAGAAATTCTGTGAGAAATAGCTGATAAGAGAGTTGATAAGAAAGCTGGAGATGGCCTGAAGGAAGCTGTGGTGATGATGACTGATGAGTGGGTCCAGGGTGTTTATGATCAGAAAAAGGAGATACACTAGGTAATGGAGGAAAAAGGGATTATTGGTGCATGAACATGTTGTGTTGAAAGATACATGCCTAGTTGGTCTTTGTTAACAGATCTGTAACTTAAACTGTGTGCATTATATAAAAGGTATTTATTCATTATTTGGCTCATGGACCTGTAGAACATGATAGAACAAATATGTACCAAATGTGCACCATCAACCATGTTGCTCAAGTCTGTTAACAAATTTCCATACTGTTTGTGGTAAACGTCAGAGACCTGCATCACTTTGGGTTTTCCTCACACATTAAGCTGATGCGCTTATATAACTGGAATACTGTTCAAAGGGGCGTTAAACCCAACTCACCCACTTACTCACTCACTCCATAACATGTAAAAACTGATAACCTTTTAAAAAGATTGATGTGGGAAGGGAAGTAACTCTTTGAATTGTCTTTCAAAGACATTATCTGATATTCCAAGGCCATTAGTTTTTCAGTTCATTGTTCATTTTCTATTGCACCCTATTTTATCATGTTAATTTAAAGAGTTTATGTGCTACTAATCATGCTTATACATGTTTTTGCTGCCCCATTTTATGATATGTAAATAACAGATAAACCCATAGAAAATAGAATGAAAATCTGACAGTGTCTGTATTTAGGTATTGAAGCATTTGCTGTTGTAAACCAGAAATGAATTATATCAAGCTTCTGCTTAAGCCCTGTACCCTTTTGATACTTGAGAGCTGGAATATTGTTTTAGCCATAAGTTTTAGCTGCAATTTCATTAACAGTCTTTGAGCTGTTTCTTTCTTTTTTTGACATAATTCAGAAACACCTTTTGCACATTATGGTTGTGTGGATATCTCACTTACAATTGAAAATAATCTTTATCTCAGCCATGTTAGTGTGTGTTCAGATTCATGATTATATGACAGGGGAGATAATTGTTATAAGGGGAGACAATTCTAAGTGATTCAGATTTGAGTCATCTTGTTGTTTTACATCATATTACTCACTGTCAGACAGATTCAGGTTCAGCTGTTATTCTGGTTTCAGAGAGGAATATATCTCTCCATCATCTCACCAAGAAAAATTCCAGCATTACAGAGACTGTATGAAGAGGTGAGTGTTGTAATTCTTATGCATGCTGAACTTCTAGTTGAATAAAACAGTTGTGAGAATTTCAGTTACTCTTCAGGATTTTGATTATGTCATATTTGAGTTTGAACATGAATTTGTATGCTTCACCCCTCCCCCGACTCTTCTCACCCTCCTGCCCCCCCCCCCCCCCCGATCTGCATAAGCTGTAGCTAGTTGACTGATTTTGTGTCACTGAATCTCAAGGCCACCGTTACGAATAGCTTGGTTTTGTTCATCACAACTATTACTTGAAGAGGAGTTTTTTTCTCATCCAAACTATTTTGCAAGGTCAGGCAAGTTGCCCAAAGCAAGATCATATTGTGTTGTGGCCTAATGGTGTGGGTCTATCCCATGCAGCTAAAGTTAAATGGTTTTATTATTTGTTTTCTGTCTGCTATGATACACCTCTACTGTTGCCGGCTCACTCAATCATTCACTCTTTATTCTACATGTAACCATGGTAACTGACTGCAATTCTAAATATTCCAGTCGTGCACCACCGAAAGCCCATACAACCCAACTAAAGACTTCACAGTGGACCCACGTCACATGGTGCTGCTGCACGGCTTCCAGCTTCAGGGTAGGTGGCGCCACCTGGCGGAAACCCTCCACGGCCTCACGATTACCCACTGGCGATCAGTGTTGGATGGTTCATGATTTGCCTCCCCATATTATTATGACTATACAGTTAAAACATCAGCTGCATGCTGAATAATGCCCAGTGTTGACACTATGATATCTTGGGGGCGGTCGGGTAGCCTTGTGGATAAAGTGTTCGCTTGTCTCGCCGAAGACTCGGGTACGGTTCCCGACATGGGAACAATGTGTGAAGCCCATTTCTGGTGTCCCCCATCGTGATATTGCTGGAATATTGCTAAAAGTGGCGTAAAACCATACTCACTCACTCACTATGATATCTTGAGGCAATGTTGTTTATTTGGTTGTGTTCGATAACAGACATGTTTATGCGCACACAGCAGCACTCTGAACCAGACCAACGTCTAACAGTCATTAGCAGCGTCCTACCTCACTTCTGTCACATATACAGGTACCATCACACAGAACCTTACTTGTCAGTAACAGGTTTGATGACATCGAACACAAGCGGTCGCTGGGCGGCATCATCATGAAGTCTCACTCAAGCGAGATTACGTTTTATGTTTACGAGCTAACTTTTAAACATTTGACAGTATGTCAAGTATTACCCAAATCCATAGGATCAGTTTAAAGTCATTTTGCGTTTTATGATAGGACTGAAGCCCTAGGAGTGAGTGAGTGAGTATGGTTTTACGCCGCTTTTAGCAATATTCCAGCAATATCACGGCAGGGGACACCAGAAATGGGCTTCACACATTGTACCCATGTCGGGAATCAAACCCGGGTCTTCGGCGTGACGAGCTAACACTTTAACCACTAGGCTACCCGACCGACCCTGAAGCCCTAGGAACTTTAAGGAGTCAAATTTGCTCCCTGCAGCTAGCGTTCCTTGTATTGTAATGACTACAATGAATTAATCAAGTGAGATGTGGTTGTTATTTTTTTAAATCGTACTTAAACAGTTATGTGTTGCCATGGTTTCAGAGAGGTCCCACAGTCCAAGCCTTGAAGAGGAGAAACAGACCAGTGAGCTTATAAAATCGTCCCTAGGTAGAGTTATCTCCCTTGTTCAGCTTGCTTCTTTCAAGGAGGTATTCTCAGGGTTCTCGGGAAGTTTGGAAGTAGAAAGTCAAGAAGATCTATCAACATTAAAATAACTGATCTTTGGTTGGAAAATAAGAATACATTTATATGTTATGGTCCTGTTAATCTCAAACTTTATGTAGATCTAACTGAATATAGTTTGAAATCAGTTTATCACTATGTTAATTTGTCATTTGAATTTAAATGTACGGACGTCTTTGTTTGCTTTTAATGACATCTTTTGTTTGTCAGGTTCTACAGGAACAAGTGGTGGCAGAGTTAACTCCCCTGCACCTGCCACCACCACTGATGGTCAGTTCAAGGTTCCACAAGCTACTACAGGCAAGATATAATTCCTTGGACTAAAAAAATAAAGTCTTGGTTCTCAGGCATCTTAAGGTCTGCTGCATGTTTCGTTTTTTATTTCCATTTTCAATTTTTTTCAAAAAGATCCTAATACCTGAAAACAATGTGTTCCCATATAGCACGCAGTTACTTCCCTTTACATGTGCACTACTTTACATCTTGTAAAGTACTGTATTTGTAAAGTACTTGTACTGCGCATCTTGTGTTATGGTCCTGGCAGCAATAGGAGTTTGTATGCTTGTTAATGTAGGGAGGCCCTTTCCCAGGTTGATGGTACACAACTGTTTATTTGGTTACATACCAGTTTGAACAAGAAAAAAAATAAAGAACCACCACTCGCCCACACTATATTTTTAAAAGTCATTGCCTGAGAACCTATTCTTTGGGGGTTTATTAAGCTTGGAGATATTCTCATATACCATGGAAGAGTAAATACTAATTATGCTCAAAACATCTGGGGGGGCACGGGTGGCCTAGTCGTCTAAGGCGCCGCGATTCGCTGTGCAGAGTTGCGTCCCCTGGACACGCCAGAAACCTATGATTCTGGGTTCGAATCCCGGTTCGCCCCGATTATGTTTCTAGGTTTGTCAGCACCATACCCGTGCTCGTGGGTTTCACCGAAGTGGTAAACGTCTGAGACCTGCATCACTTCGAGCTTTCCTCCCACATTAAGCTGACACGCCGTGATATAACTGGAATACTGTTAAAAGCGGCATTAAACCCAACTCACTCACTCACTCAAAACATCTGGAGCCTTGTACTGATTGCATGTTCAACTAATAAAATACCTTTGTTTGATACAGGCTTGCAGAATATAACACAACAGCCCTCACCACAACAGCCAGCATTGTCTCCTTTGAATCCCCAGAACTTAAACCAAGCTGTCACATCTCAGCCATCTCCTCAGCAACAGCAACAACAACAACAACAACAGCAGCAACAACAACAACAACAGCAACAACAACAACAGCAGCAGCAACAACAACAGCAGCAGCAACAACAGCAGCAGCAACAGCAACAACAGTCCATACAGACCCCAGGGTCGGGCGGGCTCAACAATCCCCAGGTTCAGCAGGCCAATCAGATGGGCATGGGACCCCCCATGGGTCAGATCCGACAGGTCAACCAGCCCAACCAGCAGCCCAAGATGGCCATGTCGCCTGCAGGGCAGCAACCTCAGAACACCATGGTTACCATGGCAAACACTATGATCATGAACCAGCAGTCCAGTCAGCAGGTGCGCCCTGTGTTCCTCTCACAGCAGGGGCAGATAATCAATGTGCCCGGTACCCAGGCAATACAGGTATACACACACGAGAGCACTTACCGAATTTACTTGAGCATTGGAAAAACAAAATCCCCAATCCAAATTCTATCTGTTCATATGATCTTTTGGTGACAGTTATATGTCCTGAGTTTCTTAACAAATGATGGTTCTTTTCGCCCGAGGCCAGTTTCACAAAGCAGTCTTAGCACTGAGACTGTTGCAAGTTGTTGGAGTATAGGAACTACAATCGTCTCAGCACAAGGATCGCTTTGTAGAACAGGGCCCAGAGTTCTATGTACAGAGTTCGTGAAACATTTTGAAAAAATCTCTTTTCACATCACCTGATTGGGATGATGTTTTGTTGTCCTTTTTTAATCGTGATTTTACACATGGTGTAAGTTACGCTATATAGAACTTGGCAGAAAATAGTCTTCCTGTAATAATGTGACAGTTAACATGGTTAGGAATAAGATATACCACCAGCAATTTTCACAGTGGAATGTGAGGCTGGTGTTTATAGGTGAGCTGGGGTGCATGGTGGTGAAGTGGGGTGTTTGGTAGTGAGGTGGATGTTTGGTAGTGAGGTGGATGTTTGGTAGTGAGGTGGGTGTTTGGTAGTGAGGCTGGTGTTTGTAGGTGAGCTGGGGTGCATGGTGGTGAAGTGGGGTGTTTGGTAGTGAGGTGGATGTTTGGTAGTGAGGTGGATGTTTGGTAGTGAGGTGGGTGTTTGGTAGTGAGGTGGATGTTTGGTAGTGAGGTGGATGTTTGGTAGTGAGGTTGGGTGTTTGGTAGTGAGGTAGGGTGCCTGGTAGTGAAGTGGGGTGCTTGGTTGTGAGGTAGGCAGATATGGATGAAAAATGAGAACTCTGTAGATAGACTCTGAACATAACTACATTATTCTCTTGTTAAGAATTTTCAGTAATTATGCTTCACCAACCTCAGATATTTGAAGGTGTAAATCTGACCTGAAACCTTGTCACATAGTCACGGAGGAAGTCCAGTATTTGCTATGCAGAGGGAGCCTAAGACACAACAAACACAAGGCCACGTTACCAACTTCGGTTCTCTCATGCTGTATAGAGCTGCCTGGGTATAACCCTTGTTACCGTGGAAACAGACCTGTCTACCTGCCTAGTGTGTAGATGATTGTACTGTGCGTGTGGTTGTGGTGTAAGCACATTCAATGCATTCTAATATACTCAGTGTTTTAAATCAACAGGTATTCGGAACACCAGGTCTTGCGTAATATTTCTAATAATTGTAATATGTTAACTGTTTAAGCATGTTAATACTGAGTATTTATTGGTAAAATATGAAACTGCCCATGGCCTATGTTATGTTTGTTTATAAAATACATACTTTTCGTAGTTAAAAGGTAAAATAATGGTGTTCTACTTCCATATTAAAATCACACTCTATGATATAATTGAAATATTTTGAAAAAAACCAACATATCCAAATCACTCAGGCAAAACCATTATCAAACGAAACAGGACACACTGTTCGTTTAATTTGGCTTGAGATGTACAAACATTTTTGTAAGATGAAATTCCTTTTGTTTGATAATCTGAAAACTTCCAACAATATGTGTTGTTCATGGCAGAAAAGCCAGTATTTTGACCATGTACCTTCGTGATGTTTGTGGTTTCTGGCCGTATCAGCTCTGGTAAAAGCTTTGTTATGTGCATTGAACTAGGAGGTTGACAGGTCTGACTGTTCTGTTCTGACATTGTGATGTGTTGTGTGTTCTTAGGTTGCGTATCTTGCATGTAGTTAAAAGTATTCTTCCTGTTTATCTACCCCTCACTCTACTGATAATCGCATCACAATTTTCATATTTTTATTTCGCAAATTAAAAAAACTCTGTTACAGTAGTGCATAATCTTAGTAAAAAGTTCCTACTGCCAAAAAATTATACGTTTATGTTTTTTATACTAATTTATTTAAGTTTTCTTTTGTTTTATTTTTATGATGTGTGTCACCATGGTTATTTGAGTTGATTACAGAGAACAGAAAGATAACAAAGATTGACTTTAGACATGTTAGGCTTAAAAAAATAAAATAATTGGTTCTCAGGCAATGGCTTTTGAAATTATAATGCAGGTGGTGGTTTTTGGTGTTTTTTTCTAGTATGTAACCTAACAGTTGTGTACAATCAACCTGTGTAAGGGCCTCCCTACATAAATGTATTCCCTGATGAGTAAAATACTGAAATACAGTATTGATACTACTGTTGAACTTGGAATATTTTGGGATTATTTTTTTTAAAAATGGAAATTAAGATGAATAGTGTGGCAAACTTTATGATGATGATGATGCGGTGGCTGAGAACCAAGACTATTATTTTTTGGCCTTAATGTAGTAGAAGTTTTTATCTGAATTGAGATATTCCATGGAGTGAGGGTGCGATGGAGCAGCCCAGTGATTAAAGTGTTGGTTCGTCATGCCGTGCATATTATATTACATTCCGAAATATTTGGGGAGGTCGGGTAGCCTAGTGGTTAAAGCGTTCGCTCGTCACGTCAAAGACCCAGGTTCGAATCCCGACATGGGTACAATGTGTGAAGCCCATTTCTTGTGTCCCCCGCCGTGATATTGCTGGAATATTGCTAAAAGCTGCGTAAAACCAAACTCACTCACTCCGAAATATACATCAAAATGTACTTGACTGACAGTATGAACTGATCCATACCAGCTTTATCAGTATTGGAGTCAGTGTTACTGTATCAGGCGAATTAATGGATCAGTTGATCTGACTTGGTGACTGGGTAGATTTCATGTAACCGTTACCCGATGGCATAGATCGAGTCACTGGATTGTCTGGTCCAGATGCAATTATTTACAGGACGCCCCCATCTGAATCTTGTTGAGATTGATGTTAGACAACGAAAAACAATGGCATTGTGTATTCGTAGCTTTCAGCCATGGGAGCTGTGCCAATTTACACTTGTCAGAGGGGTACTCAAAGTACGTGATCTACCAGTTGTCGGACTTTCATTTTTTGTGGAAACCTTGGTGGCTGAGTGGGTTAGATCGCTGACTTTGTGTGCTGGCGATTAGGTGCCTCACTCTGGCAAGTGTTGGTTCGAATCCCGGACGGGACTCAACCCATAAAAGTACGAGAATCTGTAATTTACTAAGAAAGTGTTATCCCAAATATAACATTTGTAACGAAAAACAAATACTGATTGGGGTTCTTTTTTAATGATGCTAATATGTCAACAAAGTCCGGCCAGCACCTAGGTCCTTATTTCCCAGCTTTGATGTATCAGCCCCAGCCTCCTCCACCTTCTCCTCTTGTAGTCACAGTTGTGTTGTGGTTGTGACTTTGTTTCACCTCGTTAAGTGTTTTCTTCATCAATGTCAGGTGAATTGTGACTCTGGTGTTTTTGTTGTTTTCAGCATTTATATCATTATTAATGAAAATATATGTGTTAATTTAACTGATGTGTTCAAATGCTAAGTGTAATAATAATGAACTGGTAACCATGGTAACTTGTAATCTAATGATATGTTATCCGAAGTATTTCATCTCTATTTGTCATTCTTAAAACTGAATATGTAAAGATTTTTATTTCACCATTCAATTGGAATTCTTTCATTATTCTTTTTTCTTGATTTAAACAAACAATTGTAAAATATTGTCCATATATATGCATCCTTCCATGTTTTGACCTTTCATTTGTTTGTTTCAGACTGTGAAGCAAGAGACAAACCCCATGTTCATCAGTAAGTGAATTCCATTATTGGACATAGGCTGGGGAAGATTGGAGGCAAAGTAGGCTGATGGCTGGCTAACAGCTGGGACAGCTGTTGAAGCCCCTTCGGGGATTTTGAGTTAAGCTAGGGGTGGTCAGGTAGCCAAGTGGTTAAAGCGTTCCCTCGTCACGCCGAAGACCCGTGTGTGAAGCCCATTTCTGGTGTCCCCCGCTGTGATATTGCTGGAACATTGCTAAAAAGCGGCGTAAAACCATACTCACTCACTCGCGACTTGCTTTATTGTGTGCCATTGTACCCGGATGACACAGGCATTGCTCATAGTATCAATCACTGGTTTGTATGGTCCAGACTCAATTATTTACAGGCTGCCGTCACATCTCTGGAATATTGCTGAGTGCAGTTTTTAATGACAAGCAAACAAATAGTTTTGAAAAATCGTAGCCCATGTGGTGTAAGTTAGCTCCCTGCTCTGCGGGTGATATGGATTCAACGCTATTCTCTATTGGCCGTAAATGTTGAAATCCGTATTCCCCTTGAGAGGTTGCTTAAAATATGCACAACGTCAGGCCCTCTGCTATTTCTGCTTGCCGTGGTCCTCAAGACCAGTAGTTATGTTGATTCCTGATAACAAACTTCAGACAGGGTTTGTACAGGCTAAAAAAAAACTTGAATTTTAAGATCCCCCTTGAACATGTTGAAAAGCCTTGATTGTAGTGCCATCCTGAAAATCAGTAACTTTAACTTGAATTTGTACAAATTGACATATACTTGTTAATCAATGTAGTAAAGGACACAAAAATATGTACCAAAGACGTTTAAGTGAGATTTATCACAGTGATAGATTTGTGTGCCAAAGATCCCGGAGAATTCATTAGAGACTTAATTTATTTTGTTGTTGATTGAAAATAAATCTTGTTGGAAAATGTGAGATGGTCATACCAGGTCTTACGACTAATATATAGTAAACTGGATTTAAGAAAATATTGACAGACTAAGGCTAATAACCCAACTGAAAAAGCCTTGAAAATGACAGTTGGAAGCCTTGAAAAGCCTTACAAATGCCTTTAGTTTAGTGTTCCATATCTGTATGGGATGAGGGGCGGTCGGGTAGCCTAGTGGTTAAAGCGTTCGCTCCTCACACCGAAGACCCGGGTTCGATTCCCGACATGGGTACAATGTGTGAAGCCCATTTCTGGTGTCCCCCGTCGTGATATTGCTGGAATATTGCTAAAAGCGGCGTAAAACCATACTCATTCAATCAATCACTGTATGGGATGACCAAAAGGAGTGTATGAAATAGTCTCAAACTATTGCTGGGCAGGTGGTTAGCCAGTCATAACAGTAACATGTGGAGGGGGTAACTCTGTTCTCGTCAACTTGCAACCTTGATTTGTTATGGTGTGTATTTTCATTTTTAATGGCCATATTGATGTATTTTGTTTAACTTTGAGGTAGGCATTTGAAAATCACTTACAATTTTCTTATCGGGTTAGGAACATTTCAGAATCTAGTGGGTTAGCAGGCACACTGGCATAAATACCCAGAACCATAATTGAAATAAACAATACCATATTAGACGTAATAAGCACCCAGGGCACTCTCAAAATTAGAAATAGGGGCCTCTTATTAGAATCTAGTGGGTTAGCAGGCACACTGATTACTTGTGTTGTATGTGTCAATCCAGCCCTGTTCATGCAATGTATTATGTTCCTTTTCTGTTGGGATAAATACCCGGAACCATAATTGAAATAAACAATACCGTATTTGATGTAATAAGCACCCAGGGCACTCTCAAAATTAGAAATAGGGGGCTCTTATTAGAATATAATTTTGGTGAAAAAAACCCCAGAGATGAAAGATTGTAAATTTCGTGGTTTATGCTGACAGCCTGAAATGATACAAAAGAAAAGTTGGTGCGTATTATAGACGATATATATTTTCCAGAATTTGATTGCCCATAATTAAGGGTGCCTGTAACACACGAGTGCGTATTATACACAAATAAATAAGTCTTGTGTACATTGATCAATAGGAAATAAGCAAATATCGCCGTGGGCACTTATTACGTCGAATACAGTACTTAAAATTGTTATCCAATCAGGATACAATCATGACTGACTGAGATCTTCTATTTAGTTAATGGTAAGAGAGATTGAGATTGTGACGTCTCTTCTGAAATGAATTAAGGGTGTGTAAAATCTTGTGTCTCATTGAACAATATCTCCTTTATGTTGGATAAGTGGTAATTGGATATTTGTATGCACAATGTTTTATGAGTGTATCATTTCATTTGAATTCTAGACCGACAGAGTCAAGCTCAGCAGCAGCAACAACAACAGCAACCACAACAGCAGCAGCAGCAGCAGCAACAACAACAGACAACAGACAGAATGATGCCTACTCAGAGATCTGGTGTTACCATGGTGAGTACCCAGAATCCAATGACAGCACAAGGACTGATGACATCACAGCCCCAGGTCATGATGACCCAGTCAGGCATGGCGACCTCACAGCCAGGGATGATCTCCTCTCAGCAGAACATCATGACCTCACAACAGAACATGCAACAGAACCAGCAGCCCATCAAGATCCGGGTCAATCTGCCCAACCAGACCACCATGACGACCATGTCCAACCAACCAGTGTCCATGCAGACCGACGTCTCCCAGGGTCTCGTGTCACAGCCAGCGATGTCCATGCCGGCGCAGCAGGGGATGAGCCAGTCCTTCATGCAGGCCGGGGGTCAGCAGGGGGGTCAGCAGATCGTCATGCAGGGGGCGGGGTCAGCTCCAGCCATGGGGGGTCAGGTGTTCCCAGGGGCTGCCGATGGTGGGGTGGCTGATCCGACAAAGGCTGCAGTTCAGAACAACAAGAAGATCATCTGGAAAGGTAGAGTTGCTTGTTGGATGGTTTTGAGAGACTGGACAAATTTCACATTTGAAAACGTGCTTGTAGGACTAAATATTTCTTTTGGCAGTAACTACGGATTATGATTAGTGTAATGATGAATATGTTTGGTTGCCAAATGGTTGGTTGGTTTGTTTGACGCCGCACTCAGCAATATTCCAGCTATATGACGGCAGTCTGTAAATAGTCCAGTCTGGACCAGACAATCCTGTGATTGGCATCATGAGCATCGATCCACGCAATTGGGATACAATGACATGCATCAACCAAGTCAGCGAGCACGACAATCATAGTTGCTTTTTACAGCAAGCATGGGTTCTACCCCGGATCTTCACAGGTCGGTTGCCAAATGACAATTTAACAGCCTAAGGTAACCTGAAAGGATGGGTGAAGTCTATTCTGGATACACATAGAGGTCTGCAGGGGCTAGACTAATGCATGTCAGTGAACCTGTGAAGATCATGGTTAGAATAGGTCTTCAGCTGGTAGGATGAGATTAGGAAGCTTGGGTAGTATACTCCCCAGGGAGTTGAGAATGATGGTTGAGTGCACACTGTGTGGTGTGGAAATATGCACAATATAAATGGCCTTTTTTATTATTATTATTATTATTATTATTATTATTATTATTATGATTCAGCAACCCATGCTTGGTATATACTAATGGAATCGAATGGCCAGACTTGCTAACTTGGTTGATGCATGTCACTGTATACCAATCGCGTAGATCGATGCTCAAGATGTCGATCTGTTCTGGCCCAGACTCCATTATTTACAGACCGCCGTCATCTGGGGATATTGCTGAATGCGGCGTTAAACAACAAACAAGACAAGGCATATCAACCCGTGAAGATTCCGGGGTAGAATAGGTCTTCAGCAACCCATGCTTGCCGTAAAAGGTGACTATGCTTGTCGTAAAAGGCGACAAACGGGATCGGTTGGTCAGGCTCGCTGACTTGGTTGATGCATGTCATTGATCCTGATTTCGTGGATCGATGCTCATGATACTAATCACTGGATTGTCTGGTCCAGACTCGATTATTTACAGACCGCCGTCATATAGCTGGAATATTGCTGTGTGCGGCGTTAAACAACAAACCAACCAACCAACCAACCAACCAACAAGGCATATCAGTGGTTGTTGTGGTGTAGGATTGACTCATTACTAGCCAGAGGTTGATGTGCTGTGTGACATCCGTCAGTTGACTGTTGACTTGTGCTGGTTGCCCGGCTACAGCTCTGTTCTGTGTCAGGTTCCTTGGAGTACCAGGAGAAGCCCAAACCACAGGGTCCCCCCAACGCTGTGCAGCAGAAGAACACGAAGACACTCAACTGTTGTGTCTCCATCCTCAACACGGAGCCTGACCTGTAAGCACCATTACCTGATGGGAGGGTGGGGTTATTAATTAGGTCACATGCTGGGTCACAGTTGGGTGGGGTTTGATATGGCGATCAGCATGTCTGTCTGTCTGTCCGTCCATTCCGGAGCAGAACACCTAACCATTGAATATTTCTTGTTGAAACTTGCTATACAGATCAGTCTAGTGGTGAACTGGTGTTTTTTGATGATTTGGGATATTTAATAATACTGAACATTATTTTTTTCTTCTCTGACCAGAAGTTATCCAAAGGCAATAATGAACCCCAACTGGGGCAAAAGTAGCCAAGCTCCATTTCTGAATTGCACCAGAAGAGGGGGGTGTCTTGTGTATATTTTGTGCATTTTCGTGGTTGAATTCACTGTGCTTCAGTTGTAACCTTGAGAATATAAAAATCCATACCTGTTGTTGTGCATCCTCTTCAGCAATGCGAGGAACTGGCCTGAGAAGCTGGTGATGCAGCTCCTGCCCCAGCCCATGCTCCATGAGCTGCAGAGTCTGTTCCGCAACTCCAGACAAGTGTCCTTCCACTTCTCCCCCAACGACCTGGACGCCCTTCGCAACCTCTACCGCATCATGGGAACAGGATTTGTATGTTGGATAGTCTGGCTTCTTTATTACTTTAGTTGATTTAGTGTCTGCCCCCGCTCTGCCCCCGCTCTGCCCCGTCCGTCCCTCTGCCCCGCCCGTCCCTCTGCCCCTCCCCTTCTCTGCCCCGCCCGTCCCTCTGCCCCATCCGTCCCTCTGCCCCTCCCCTCCTCTGCCCCTCCCCTCCCCAAAATATTAAATGACCAGACCTATAAGGAATATGTTAGTAAGGCCGCCGTGATGTTATCAGGAAAATCTCCAGCACCCCATGCTTGGGAGCGATGGCTAATCATGCTAATGAACATATGTGAATTACAGTAAACTATGTTTATAACAAACATACATGCAACGAACTGACAGATACAAAAAACTTATTTCTTGGTGCCGGACATTTGTGTATAAATGCTTACATATGCTTATAACGAACAATGGTTATGACTTACAAAAATTAGTGGTCCCTTTATCCGGGGTAGAATAGGTCTCCAGCAACCCATGCTTACTGTAAAAGGTGACTATGCTTGTCGTAAAAGGCAACTAATAGGATCTGGTGGTCAGGCTCGCTGACTTGGTTGAAGTATGTTATCGATCCCAATTGCGTGGGTCAATGCTCATGATATCAATCACTGGATTGTCTGGTCCAGACTCGATTATTTACAGACCGCCGTCATATAGCTGGAATATTGCTGAGTGCGGCGTAAAACAACAAACAAACAAACAAATAGTGGTCCCTTTGAGTTCGTCACGACCGTAGTTTACTGCAGTTTACGATGTGTATCTTGGCTGATTGATGTCATGCTGCCCTGATGTCATGCTGCCCTGATGTCATGCTGCCCTGATGTCATGCATTGTTTCCCATGCTTTCGACCACTGGTTTGCCTGGCCTGGCCTGGCCTCGTCTTGATTGCTTACCTCACTGAAAGGCTGCTGTGATATGGCTTGATATTGCTGACTGGCATAAAACAACATTTACTCCCTGGTTTTCCTGTGAGGGTGCTGGGTTACGATTGGCCCCCTGCAACCCATGCTGGTCGTAAGAGGCGACATACTAGATCAGGTGGGCAGACTCAGTGACTTGGTTGAAACTCATTGCTCCCCAACTGCGTGTATTGTTATTCACAATATGTGGCCCAGAATCGTTTGTTTACAGCCAGCCATCATATAGCTGGAATAGTGTGGCGTTAATGAAACAAGAACACAAACTAACAAACCCCCTCGCTTGTTGACCAGCCCTGTCCAGTACTGTCGGTTGTTGTGTTCCAGGCTGGCTGTGTCCACTTCTCCCAGACCGCCCAGTGTGATATCCGAGTGCTGCTCCTGCTCTACAGCAGCAAGAAGAAGGCCTTCGTCGGACTCATCCCCAACGACCAAGTCGCCTTTGTCCAGGGCATCAGGAACGTGCTTAATAAAGTCCGAAACAAGGTGTGTGATCACAGAAGTAGGAGCAATCCTTATGTCTTTTACCTCGGCCACTTGGGGACTCAGGGATAGAATAGATTCCCAGCAACTTAATCTGGTCATAAGAGGCATTGACACAAGTTTCTTACATAATCTGAGAGTTAAATCTTTCGTAACTACCTTAAAGTGTGAAAGTTAAATAATGTTGGTGCCAGGTTTGCTTTGAACTATGTGCAAGTGGGCCCTAGATGTTAGTCAAGGAGTTTATCATCACCTATGACAGAAGTAGATCTGTCTTACACAACACAGTAACATGACTGGCAATGATATTTCTCACTGACTGTTCTAACAAACTAAATGAAAAGCTTTTGAATCGAAGGGGTGTAGGGGTAACCTGGTGGTTAAAGTGTTATCTTATCCTGCGGAAGGTCTGGGTTCAATTCCACACATGGGTATATTGTGTAAAGCCCCTTTCTGGTGCTCCCCATGCTGAAAACATGTAATAACTTACTCATTCTTGTGTCACATACGTTTTATTGCTGTGAATAGCTGCAACATTGGAGATCAATAATCACTCTCTCACTCACTCGCTCACTCACTCACTCACTCACTCACTCACTCACTCACTCACTCACTTTTTTAATATGATGCTTCTCTCACTATGCTGTAACATACTGTTATTGTGTAAAAACATTTCATATAAAGAGGGTCTGATGTAGAATAGGTCTTCAGCAACCCATGCTTGCTGTAAAATGCGACTATGCTTGTTGTAAGAGGTGACGAACGGTATCGGATGGTCAGGCTCGCTGACTTGGTTGATGCATGTCATTGAATCCAATTGCGTGGCTTGATGCTCATGATGTCAATCACTGAATTGTCTGGTTCAGATTCGATTACTAGTATTTACAGACCGCTGTCGTATATCTGGAATATTGCTGAGTGCAGCGTTAAACAACAAACAAAACAAACAAATCATAGAAAGATTATTCAAGGATTTAAATGATCTGTGATGTTTTGATTCATATTACCATGACCACCCAGGAATAATATGTCTTGTAAAATCTTTGTCTTGCAGGATTTCTATTTTGTAAGAATGATTACTTTGGGATATATGAGAGAAATATTTATGATGATGCTGAGTGCATGTCCATGTTGGTTGTTACATATATGCATGTGGTAGACATATACAGTGTGTTATATATAGCCATTCCATTGTGTAGAACACCCTGCACCCAATCATCACCACAGCTTTGTTTGGAGGACCCGTAAATGAGGCTATAAATAGCAATCCAGTCAACTTACACTGTTCGTTCATGGATATGGGCGGTTGCGTAGCCTAGTGGTTAAAGCGTTCGCTCGTCACGCCGAAGACCTGTGTTCGATTCTCAACATGGGTACACTGTGTGAAGCCCATTCTGGTGTCCCCTGCTGTGATATTGCTGGAATATTTTGTAAAAAAGGCATAAAACCATACTCACTCACTGGTTCATGGATAAGCCAAGCAAGAATCTCACCAATACTTGCCTTGTTGCGTGAAAGATTTGTTTTGAGTGCAGTGTGAATTATATGATGCAAAAAATAGTGAGTGAGTGAGTGAGTTGGGTTTAACGCCGCTTTTAACAGTATTCCAGTTATATCGCTGCGTGTCAGCTTAATGTGGGAGGGAAGCCCGAAGTGATGCAGGTCTCAGACGTTTACCACTTCGGTGAAACCCACCAGCATGGGTGTGGTGCTGACAAACCTAGAAACATAATCGGGGCAAACTGGGATTTGAACCCACAATCATAGGTTTCTGGCAAACCTGCAAAAAAATCAAATCTAATTGCACTGTTCTTAAAGCAGTACGTCCCTTGATGAGTGCCTCTCAAATACAATGTGGATTTTCTTGTAGTTAAAAGACTGCTTTCGCCAGTCTTAATGTTCATTTTTTTGTATTAGGTTTCGAATGAATATGTGGAATGCTTGCTTGTACAAAGTCATGATCTTGAGTACCCTCTGGGAACATTCATTCACAAAGGGCAGTTTAACCGGGTGGTGGTAGTCAAACTCATTAGCGAAAAATATTCTGTGTTAAGTTGGATATGCCACTTCCGAAACAAAGCTGTGTAGCAGATGGATCCAGGATATTTACGTAATAGACTGGAGATGTGATATCCTGTATGGGAGATGGACCCTGTATCCTGTACAGACAAGGTGGAGGATGTCCTATCTATCCCAGGGAGACCACTCACTCACTCACTCACTCACTCACTCACTCACTCACTCACTCACTCACTCACTCACTCACTCACTCACTCACTCACTCACTCACTCACTCACTCACCTCGTGAATCAGAATGTTTTGTTGTTTTGAGGGGAAAATATTGATGCAGAAATGATGAAACTTGAATTAACATCTGGCAGCTTTGTAGTTTAAATTTATATTTTTGGACTAAAATTGTGTTCACAAAACTGGGGAGGAAGCAATACCCTTAGTCGTCACATTAATTCCACAGATCCCTATTAATTATGATTGGTTTGTCAGCATGATACCGGTTGTGAAAACATAATCGTGACGTTAATGGGTGATTTTGCAAATCCCACATGTGAACATGTCAAATGGACTTTATATTTATGAAAAATGGGGTAGTTGTTTAAAAGGGAAATTGAAGTTTTATCTTTAAAATAACCCAGATGCAATATTTTTGAAATATTGGTAAGGGCCCCCCAAAATTCAAACTTGAATATCCTGTGTAGTATGTTTCCATTCTACTTTGATAAATCCCCTGGATTAAATTTCTACCATTGCTTTGAGTCTGAATGGAATGATGCTAAAAATAGCTGTCCAATCCAAATATTCATCCACGAGAGAAATTTGGTGCTTGTAGTTGTAGGGATGGATGTCGGTGACATCACCGAAATGAAGCTGTGGTAGTGAATGGGGCCCTGGTGTCATATTGGAATGGAAATATACTATACTGGATGACTGAATACATGTATCTGTTTGTCAGATGGTCCCCTTCTAATGGAGTCCCTTTGACAGTGTTTGGTGCATGATCCATATCCTCTTTATTGTATTACATCTCTCTCTCTCTCTCTCTCTCTCTCTCTCTCTCTCTCTCTGCCTCTTTCTCCTCTTCACCTCTCTCCCCTTCTCCCCTTCTTCACTCCTCTCTCTCTTTTTTTAACTCTCCACTGTCTGTCTCTCTCTTTCTCTCACTCTCTGTGTGTGTCTCTTTCACCACTCACTACTCTCTCTCCTTGCTATCCTTCTCTTTCTGTCTCCTCTGTCTCTATGTCTATCTTTCTGTTTCTGCCTCTTCTCCACTCCTCTCTCTTGTCCACTCCTCTCTCTTCTTCACTCCTCTCTCTCTCTCTCTCTCTGCCTCTCTTTCTCCTCCTTACCTCTCTCCCCTTCTCCACTCCTCTCTCCCCTTCTCCTCTCTCTCTTTTATTTAACTCTCCACTGTCTGTCTCTCTCTTTCTCTCACTCTGTGTGTCTCTTTCACTCCTCACTACTCTCTCTCCTTGCTATCCTTCTCTTTCTGTTTCCTGTCTCTATGTCTATCTTTCTGGTTCTGCCTCTTCTCCACTCCTCTCTCCTCTTCTTCACTCCTCTTCTCCACTCCTCTCTCCTCTTCTTCACTCCTCTCTCCTCTTCTCCACTCCTCTCTCCTCTTCTTCACTCCTCTCTCCTCTTCTCCACTCCTCTCTCACTCTCTCTGTGTGTCTGTCTCTCTCTCTTTCTTTGTCAAGTTCTTTATATTAGTCTGGATTTTTAATTTGTTCATATTAACATGCTGATATATGATATTTACACATCTTCACTATCTAAGGTCCTTCTCTCAACCATGCAATTTTATTTTCTGCTTCCTCTGTTATGTAATGTTAACATGTAACATGGCCGTAAGCTCTTCTTGTCTGGCCAGTTGAAGGAGCATGCTAACTGTTGTACCACTCCTCACACTATGAACCATCAGTAACTGTCATACACTTTAATTCCTTCCTCAAATGCTTCATCACTAGAATTGTGAAAGGATGTTTAATGTGAAATTGAGTTTGTTGATTGTACTTTTTGCAGGTGTTTGTGAAATGTAATCTTGAATGATTTGGGATGTGATTCCTGCATGTGCCTTCTGCTGGGTGCTGATCGCCATCCTTCCGAGGCAAGAACGTCCACTAGCCTTTTTATCAAAGTCTTGTTACATCGAGCCCACTTTCCTGTGCTAAATATGATTGGACTATCATACACATGGATAGTCCAGTCAGAGAACGTTTCACAAAATCAACATCCACGACTGGTACACCTTCCTATGAAAGTGACTTAACGCTGCCTGTCTATGTTGACACGAATATGTTTTTTCTTATTTAAACCCCCCAACGATTGCCTATCTTTTTGTGTCAAGGACGAAATCGCGAATGTTTTCGTAATCTGATCGACTAGGTCGCGCTTATGGTAGTCGCCATCTTTGTGAAGCTAGATGAGATAAGAACAGCGACCTGATTGGATATCGCATTATCATTACAAGGGTTTCAACTCCTGATCTACGCGAGGTGGCGCCAGGGTCTAGCCAGGAAAAGTGGCCTTGAAATGGCAAGGGTAGAAACTAGGCTTTGATATAGGCCAGTGGACACGCTTGCCTAAGGAAGATGGCTGATGTACCTGTTGCACGCTCCTCTATCTTCAACAACTTGGTGTGCTCATTCTGCCTGTGTTTTTTTGCTCTGTCAAAGATTTACACACAAAAACAAAAACTGTTCCAGCAGCAGACACAGCAGGTGAATCCACCGATGACAACAAACCTACCACTGCAGACTCCCCCGCAGGTATGTCACTCCCTTGTCCCATCAGACTCCCCCCTCCCATCAGACTCTCCCGCAGGTATGTCACTCCCCTGTCCCATCAGACTCCCCCCTCCCATCAGACTCCCCCCCCCCATCAGACTCCCCCACAGGCATGTCACTCCCCCCTCCCCATGCAGACTCCCCACAGGTATGTTACTCCCCCCTCCCATCAGACTCCCCCGCAGGTATGTCACTCCCCTGTCCCATCAGACTCCCCCCTCCCATCAGACTTCCCCCCCCCCCCCCCCTCTCCCATCAGACTCCCCCCTCCCATCAGACTCCCCCACAGGTATGTCACTCCCCCCTCCCATCAGACTCCCCCAAAGGTATGTTACTCCCCTGTCCAATTAGACCCCACAGGTATGTTACTCCCCCCTCCCATTAGACTCCCCACAGGTATGTTACTCCCCCCTCCCATCAGACTCCCCCACAGGTATGTTACTCCCCCCTCCCATCAGACTCCCCCACAGGTATGTTACTCCCCCCTCCCATCAGACTCCCCCAAAGGTATGTTACTCCCCTGTCCAATTAGACACCACAGGTATGTTACTCCCCCCTCCCATTAGACTCCCCACAGGTATGTTACTCCCCCCTCCCATCAGACTCCCCCACAGGTATGTTACTCCCCCCTCCCATCAGACTCCCCACAGGTATGTTACTCCCCCCTTCCATCAGACTCCCCCACAGGTATGTTACTCCCCCCTCCCATCAGACTCCCACAGGTATGTCACTCTCGTCCATTTAGACCCCACAGGTATGTTACTCCCCCCTCCCATCAGACTCCCCCACAGGTATGTTACTCCCCCCTCCCATCAGACTCCCCACAGGTATGTTACTCCCCCCTCCCATCAGACTCCCCCACAGGTATGTTACTCCCCCCTCCCATCAGACTCCCCCACAGGTATGTCACTCTCGTCCATTTAGACCCCACAGGTATGTTACTCCCCTCTCCCATCAGACTCCCTGCATGAATGTCATTCTGCCTTTCCGTGCAGACCTCTGCGGATATGTCACTTCCCCATCTCATGCAGACCCCGCTGGTAGATCACAGGATGTTGCTCATATTATCAATCACTGGTTTCTCTGGTCCAGATCGTGCCTCCGTGTCCCCATGCCCGATTAAGCCACAGGCAAACTCCTTTTTGGACCTGCTTGTAAATTGCAAAACGATTATGTTGTCAATTTATTATCCCCCCGGCATATAATGAGGGGGGATATAGCGATCAGCCAGTCTGTCTGTCCGTCTGGTCCGTCCGTAATCATTTCCTTTTCCGGGGCAGAATTCGAAAACCATTCAGTATATTTGATCGAAACTTGGCAAAGCTATCAGGCACATACTGAAGTGGTGCCTTTTGATATTTTGGGATTTTTCTAATTTTTATTTTTTTAAATTTTTATGGAATGAAGTTGGACATAGACTCCATTGGGGAACAGGTTCGTTTCCGGGCCAGAATTCGAAAACCATTCAGTAGGTTAAACAATGTATGCTTCTAAAAGATCATTCAACTGTTGACTCATTACATACAGAATTACACATTTACTAGTGGTTACTTTACAGACAGCTGCCGGGGGGATATGTGATCTTTCTGATGACTCTTGTTAAAATACACACGTAAAGTGAGGGATTTGTTTCCTTACAGATGCAGGTAACGCAGGGACTTCCAAACAACCAACAGCAGATGAGGATGGGGATGCAGGTGGGTGGTAGAAGTGAAATATGCTGTTGTTGATGCCCAGCGATCATCATGGAGTCCAGTGGCAGATTTGGTTATCAATATACGATACCCCTCTGCATGGAGAACTGACAGTCTCCCCCATAGAAGGTCGCCCCAGATGATCCCCGAGCGGACTTGGACTGCCCAATCTACATGAAGATGTCAGCTTTCTAGCTTCATGAGGGGTGGTCGGGTAGCCTAGTGGTTAAAGCGTTCGCTCGTCACGCCGAAGACCTGGGTTCGAATCCCGACATGGGTACAATGTGTGAAGCCCATTTATGGTGTCTCCCGCCGTGATATTGCTGTAATATTGCTAAAAGCGGCGTAAAACCAAACTCACTCACTCACTCACTCTAGCTTCATGATGTCTTTGTTTTGCCACCAGGGGCCACGAGTGCCCCAGTTATCTAAGGTGGGGCGATTCGCTGTGCAGTGTTGCCTGCCTTGGGCATGCCAGAAACCTATAATTGGGGGTTTGAATCCTGGTTCGCCCAGATCATGTTTCTAGGTTTGTCAGCACCATACCTGTGCTCGTGGGTTTCACCAAAGCGGTAAACGTCTGAGACCTGCATCACTTTGGGCTTTCTTCCCATATTAAGCTGACACGCCATGATATAACTGGAATACTGTTCAAGGCGGCATTACAGCCAAATCACACATCTATACTGCATTTTTAAACATCCCTTACATTGCATATGACTTTTCTGAGTCAAGCTGAGTATGACATTGTTTCATGTTATGTATTATTACTTTTGACAAAGTACAAGCCACCAAGAACACAAATATTCCTTTGTTGGAACTTCCTTTTGGGTTTAGCTGACATGGGGTTCAGTAACAGCAAGATGGATTAACTATCCACAATGTTATGAAGGCAGGGCCTATGTTATTTACATCCAGAAAAGTTTGTTTTTCGAGATTCGAAAATTAGATACATCCTGAATACTCTGGTCTGAATGCTCACTAGTACAGAGAATTTAGAAACCTGGATGCTGATTGGCTGATTAGAAAGTTCACCTGACATGACCTCCTATGGACGGGTTGTCGGATCTTCACACGGGTGCATCATGACATATCTGATTTTAGCAAGTTTGGGGAAACACGTGACTGTGGATTGGCGCCACCAATATAGAGCAAAGACTTGACTTCACATTTTCCGGGTCTCTTTATGTTCCTGGAGCAGTGCTGCCTGGACTCTCAGGAGCCTTTCATAAGATCTATTCAAGTGGAATAGTTCGGGGAGAGCACACTGTGACTTATCTGTTAGGGCTGGGACGAGTCCAAATGTATGACCTGGGTACTCGACCCCCTTTTACCCAACCCTTAATGGGTACCCATTCCCCTATTACACGACCCTAAATGGGTACCCATTCCCCTATTACCCGACCCTAAATGGGTATCCATTCCCCTATTACCCAACCCTAAATGGGTACCCATTCCCCTATTACCCGACCCTAAATGGGTATCCATTCCCCTATTACCCGACCCTAAATGGGTATCCATTCCCCTATTACCCGACCCTAAATGGGTATCCATTCCCCTATTACCCGACCTTAAATGTGTATCCATTCCCCTATTACCCGACCCTAAATGGGTATCCATTCCCCTATTACCCGACCCTAAATGGGTATCCATTCCCCTATTACCCGACCCTAAATGGGTATCCATTCCCCTATTACCCGCCTCTAAATGGGTATCCATTCCCCTATTACCCGACCCTAAATGGGTATCCATTCCCCTATTACCCGACCCTAAATGGGTATCCATTCCCCTATTACCCGACCCTAAATGGGTATCCATTCCCCTATTACCCGACCTTAAATGGGTATCCATTCCCCTATTACCCGACCCTAAATGGGTATCCATTCCCCTATTACCCGACCTTAAATGGGTATCCATTCCCCTATTACCCAACCCTTAATGGGTATCCATTCCCCTATTACCCGACCCTAAATGGGTATCCATTCCCCTATTACCCGACCCTAAATGGGTATCCATTCCCCTATGACCCGACCTTAAATTGGTATCCATTCCCCTATTACCCGACCTTAAATGGGTACCCATTCCCCTATTACCCGACCCTAAATGGGTATCAATTCCCCTATTACCCGACCTTAAATGGGTATCCATTCCCCTATTACCCGACCTTAAATGGGTACCCATTCCCCTATTACCCGACCCTAAATGGGTATCCATTCCCCTATTACCCGACCTTAAATGGGTATCCATTCCCCTATTACCCGACCTTAAATGGGTATCCATTCCCCTATTACCCGACCTTAAATGGGTACCCATTCCCCTATTACCCGACCCTAAATGGGTATCCATTCCCCTATTACCCGACCTTAAATGTGTATCCATTCCCCTATTACCCGACCTTAAATGGGTACCTAGTGTAGGTCTCCAGAGTTGGGTAAATAATGTCCAGTTGGGAATGGTTTTACCGGAGCCCTGGCAAATGCTATTTGCTTACATGTATAAGATGATCAGATCATACTTACACTGAAGTCGACTGAAGTTATATCTTTACTTAAATGTATAAATGTCAGAAACAATGCGTGGTAGTCAGAAAGAAATGCAAATCTAAGCGACTTTAGTGTTATTGTATTTAAACGATATATTACGTGACTAACCACAGGTCCGGGTAGTCCTGGGCCCCGTTCCTCAAAGCGATCTTAGCGCTACGATTGTCGTAAGTCAGTGTTAAAGAATGGGAGTTACGATCGTCTTAGCGCTAAAATCGCTTTGTGGAAAGGGGCGCTGTGGGTACCCTGGACCTATTCAGGACCCACCCGTCCCGAGTACCCAAGTTACCCGTCCCGAGTACCCAAGTTACCCGTCCCAGCCCTATTATCTGTGCTCTGTTTGCAGACGGTGGCAGGCAACATGCCCATCACATCGGCCTCCACCCAGGTGGCCCCGGCATTGCCTCTCCAACAGGACATGGTGAGTCACATCGCCTTGGTTACCACCATCAAACCTGTGGAGGTCAATTGTGTTGTACGATGTGGGAAAATGCTTTTAAGTTTGGCTTTATAACATATTAGCAATGAAGAGTAGGTAGGTGAAAACCGGAATAAGCTATTTGCAATGAAGAGTAGATCGTAGGATGTTGTGATACAGGTATCTGTATTGCGATATATTTGTAGCTGAAGTGATCGACACTGATTGTACATGCAGATCCTATTTTGTACATACTTAAGTAAATATTACGATGTCAAAGTCAGCATGGTCAGTTGCCGCCATTTTGTATGGATGCAGGGGAGATAACAACATGAGGGAAAAAACACATCCACTTTTCCACCGTTTGGGCAATCAGTTTTGAGGGAAACATTATTTGTATATGAATTTCTGGTCGATTGTATGTTAAACGATACAAATAATAGAAACTTGTCCTATTTTGTTTACCTAATATACTGGAACATTGAAGCGTATTGCAGTATACCTGCATTCCAGTAATACCATGCAGTTGAAGTAGATAGGTAAAAACTAACAGCCACAAATCATCACTGGTAATTTCAAATTGATCTCAACTGGCCACTGGGGCGGTCGGGTAGCCTAGTGGTTAAAGCGTTCGCTCGTCATGCCGAAGACCCGGGTTTGATTCCCGACATGGGTACAATGTGTGAAGCCCATTTCTGGTGTCCCCCGCCGTGATATTGCTGGAATATTGCTAAAAGCGGCGTAAAACCATACTCACTCACTCACTCAACTGGCCACTGGGCAGTTTTCTCGGGTTTTTGTTGTGAAATGTAATTGTTTTCTGTAACCCTTGCTTTGATGTTTGTGAACCTATGAGTAAATGCACTTATTTCTGTCCGTCAAAAAAGTTGGAGTCGATTTCTGTTACACTGCGAGGGGAGGGAATGAAATAGAATTGTCCCGTCAGCTTACTTTGCCAGTTCTTATCATCGTTCTATGGCATGGGTCATCATCAAACATGATTTTCAGTCACACAAACTACATTTTATATAATTTCTGGAATGACATTCCTACGTTATTCACTATACTGAATAAGAAAGGTCTGCCAACAAGCGTAAACCAATACTCCACAAATCTGATCAGCATGTTTATTAGACACTTATTATCATAGATATTATTATAAGTTGTAGCAGTATCACTTGGGGGAACATTTGGTTTTATGTGTCCCGTATTAGGCTTTATACCATGAGCCAGAGTGGTATAAAGCCTAATACGGGATGCATGAAACCACATGAATTACAGATTTTATCGTACCGACATGTTTTGATATGACATTGTAAAAGAATTACAACAAATTCGAAACTGAAAGAAAACAGCTTTTCGATTGAGCTGAGTTTAACTTGTGCTGTGTCGTGCTATGTGACTTTCATTGACTTGGAAAAAGCGTGTCTCTTTGCTTCAAAGCGGGGTAAGGGATATATTCTCCGTCTCAAAAATCCATGTGCATCATTTCTTGTTCATGGCGGGGTATAAGGGTATTTTATCAAGATCACGTGAACCAATCAGATCTCATCATTCTGACTTGGAGGTATGATAGTCTTAACTAAATGTACATCACCTTGTTTTTACGATTTTGTTTATGTGAACTAGTCACATGACACCCAGCGGGTCATTTCTAAGGTAACATTTCAGCAAGATGGTTATTTGGTGTAATTCTATGAGGCAATTTTGCTCATCAGTTTTGGATAAATATTTCTTCTTTCTAATAAAATCAAGCAAAAATAAAACGTCGCGATCATGTGCTCGCTGTAACTGAGTGTTAGTGATAACTGGTCCTCGGCAATAACTGATTGCTAGCCAGAATGTTTGCGTTTGAGCCTTGTGCTTGAGCATCCTTACTTGCCTTGTCCAAGTCATATATTGTATTGGATCATTAGGACAGTAATTGGTAGATTGCAGTGTGGTAAGGCTTATTTCAGTATGTGGTACCAGTCCTGCCCTGAGGCCGATATTCGGCCCCAAGCCTGGAGCAAGTGTCAATAAAAATTCCCAAATTGGAATTAAAACTATCCCAATTGATGTTAGTATAGTTGTAACCAATGTTATGACTTTGCAAAGGTAACTGTATATCACTGATTACAGAGCCAATAAAAAGGAAGAGCCATTAATTCTTATTTTTACAGTATTGCAATGTTGAGATACATGTCCCTCAGGATTTAGGAAATGAGAAGTCCCAATTTTGAACAAAATGTAGATATTTTTTCCAAAATTTGCCCGCCGAGGGCACTTGGCTTAGAATCCAAGTTAATACCTTAGTACATGCCTGTGCTATCATTTTAGCTACAAACTAGTGAAAGTTTGTCATATGTGGCTGGCCTTTATTGCAGCTGTTTTGTAGCAAGTTTCTAGCTTGCTGATTATATATGTTTATTGGCAGTAGGATAATGCATTGTAATATTGCGCGGGCAAGTGAAACGGCGTGAGGATTTCAAAGCAATCACTAGGTCGAGACTAACAGGATTATTTACAGACCGCCATCATGTAGCTGGAATATTGCTGAGTGTGGCGTTAAACAAGAAACAAAAAAACAAACAAACATGATGTTGCAGGATAGTGTGATGTTGAATGTTGCAGGATACTCTGATGTTGAATGTAACAGGATACTCTGATGTTGAATGTAGCAGGATACTCTGATGTTGAATGTTGCAAGGAGATGTGATTTTAAATGTTGCAGTATAATGTGATGTTGAATGTAGCAGGATACTCTGATGTTGAATGTAGCAGGATACTCTTATGTTGAATGTTGCAAGGAGATGTGATGTTGAATGTTGCAGGATACTCTGATGTTGAATGTAGCAGGATACTCTGATGTTGAATGTTGTAGCCTAATGTGATGTTGAATGTAGCAGGATACTCTGATGTTGAATATAGCAGGATACTCTGTTGAATGTAGCAGGATACTCTTATGTTGAATGTTGCAAGGAGATGTGATGTTGAATAAAGCAGGATACTCTGATGTTGAATGTAGCAGGATACTCTGATATTGAATGTAGCAGGATACTATGATGGAGAATGTTGCAAGGAGATGTGATGTTGAATATAGCAGGATACTCTGATGTTGAATATAGCAGGATACTCTGATGTTGAATGTAGCAGGATACTCTGATGTTGAATATAGCAGGATACTCTGATGTTGAATGTAGCAGGATACTCTTATGTTGAATGTTGTAGCCTAATGTTTTGTTGAATATAGCAGGATACTCTTATGTTGAATGTAGCAGGATACTCTGATGTTGAATGTAGCAGGATACGCTTATGTTGAATGTTGCAAAGAGATGTGATGTTGAATGTTGCAGGATAATGTGATGTTGAATGTAGCAGGGTGATGTGATGTTAAATGTTGCTGGATACTCTGATGTTGAATGTAGCAGGATACTCTGATGTTGAATGTTGCCAGGTAATGTGATGTTGAATGTTGCAGGATAATGTGTTGTTGAATGTTGCAGGATAATGTGATGTTAAATGTAGCAGGGTGATGTGATGTTGAATATAGCAAGGTGATGTGTTATTGAATGTTGCAGGATACTCTGATGTTGATTGTTGCAGGATAATGTGATGTTGAATGTTGCCAGGTAATGTTATGTTGAATGTTGCAGGGTGATGTGATGTTGAATGTTGCAGGATAATGTTATGTTGAATATTGCAGGGTGATGTGATGTTGAATGTTGCAGGATAATGTGATGTTGAATGTTGCAGGGTGATGTGATGTGATGTTGAATATAGCAAGGTGATGTGTTGATGAATGTTGCAGGATACTCTTATGTTGATTGTTGCAGGATAATGTGTTGTTGAATGTTGCCAGGTAATGTTATGTTGAATGTTGCAGGGTGATGTGTTGTTAAATGTTGCAGGATACTCTGATGTTGATTGTTGCAGGATAATGTGTTGTTGAATGTTGCCAGGTAATGTTATGTTGAATGTTGCAGGGTGATGTGATGTTGAATGTTGCAGGATAATGTTATGTTGAATGTTGCAGGGTGATGTGATGTTGAATGTTGCAGGATAATGTGATGTTGAATGTTGCAGGATAATGTGATGTTGAATGTTGCAGGGTTATGTGATGTTAAATGTTGCAGGATACTCTGATGTTGAATGTTGCAGGGTAATGTGATTTTTTATGTAGCAGGATACTCTGATGTTGAATGTTGCACGGATATGTGATGTTGAATGTTGCAGGATAATGTGATGTTGAATGTTGCAGGATAATTTGATGTTGAATGTAGCAGGATAATGTGATGTTGAATGTTGCAGGGTAATGTGATTTTGAATGTAGCAGGATACTCTGATTTTTAATGTAGCAGGATACTCTGATGTTGAATGTTGCAGGGTAATGTGATGTTGAATGTGCAGGATAATGTGTTGTTGAATGTTGCAGGATAATGTGATGTTGAATGTAGCAGGGTGATGTGATTTTGAATGTAGCAAGGTGATGTGATGTTGAATGTTGCAGGATAATGTGATGTTGAATGTAACAGGATAATGTGATGTTGAATGTTGCAGGATAGTGTGATGTTGAATGTAGCAGGGTGATGGGATTTTGAATGTTGCAAGGTGATGTGATGTTGAATGTTGCAGGATAATGTGATGTTGAATGTTGCAGGGTAATGTGATGTTGAATGTTGCAGGATAGCGTGATGTTGAATGTTGCAGGATACTCTGATGTTGAATGCTGCAGGATAATGTGATGTTGAATGTAGCAGGGTGATGTGATTTTGAATGTAGCAAGATGATGTGATGTTGAATGTTGCAGGATAATGTGATGTTGAATGTTGCCAGGTAATGTGATGTTAAATGTTGCAGGATAGTGTGATGTTGAATGTTGCAGGATACTCTGATGTTGAATGCTGGAGGATAATGTGATGTTGAATGCTGCAGGATAGTGTGATGTTGAATGTAGAAGGATAATGTGATGTTGAATGTTGCAGGGGAACAACTGTATCATGATGCCGCCGAACCAGGATGCTGGTGCCGGTGATGCCATGATGAACCGAGCCATGCCAAACCAGATTTCCATATCAGAGATGATGTCAGGCCAGCAGGACCGAGCCAGTCTACAGGTCATTACACCTCTTTTTCTCTGTTAATCATTTAATCATTTACTGGGCATGCTGTATGTTCTGAAAAATAATGTGTTGCTGGCAAAATATAATTGCTTGGCTCCTTTTTAGAGAAAGATATTGTATATTTTGAAGTGCTGAATCAAACAAAAATCCCTCAAATGCCGCCATTACCCCCCATTTCTCACTCTCCTCCAACAAATATTAAATGGTCAGTCTCGTATGACCCTGATGTGCCTGTTATGTAACCAGCATCGGCTGCTATGTGTTGCAGCGTAAGATCCAGCTGCTCCAGAGTGACCTCCAGGCGGCCAAGGAGAAGGAACTCCAGTACCAGCAGGTGGAGCAGGCCAAGAAAGCCATTGCGGCCCAGCAGCAACTTCAGCAGAGGATGGGTACGTTATCAGACACCCTGGCCTTTTTGCTGTAGCATACTCCTGTATTGTACATCTTTGCACTGTATTACACTCCAGCGCATCTGTAACACACTCCAGGGCATATCTGCACTGTATCACTCTCCAGGGCATCTGTATCACACTCGAGGGCATATCTACCCTGTATCACTCTCCAGGGCATATCTGCACTGTATCGCACTCCAGGGCATACCTACACTGTATCACACTCCAGGGCATCTGTATCACTCTCCAGGGCATCTCAACACTGTATCACACTCCAGGGCATATCTGCACTGTATCGCACTCCAGGGCATCTCTACGTTGTATCACATTCCAGGGCGTCTGAATCACTCTATAGGGCATCTCTACACTGTATCACCTTCCAGGGCATATCTACGCTGTATCACTTTCCAGGGCATCTCTACACTGTATCACTCTCCAGGGCATCTCTACACTGTATCACACTCCAGGGCATCTGTATCACACTCCAGGACATCTCTACACTGTATCACCTTCCAGGACATATCTACACTGTATCACTTTCCAGGGCATATCTACACTGTATCACTTTCCAGGGCATATCTACACTGTATCACTCTCCAGGGCATCTCTACACTGTATCACTCTCCAGGGCATCTCTACACTGTATCACACTCCAGGGCATCTGTATCACACTCCAGGACATCTCTACACTGTATCACCTTCCAGGGCATATCTACACTGTATCACTCTCCAGGACATCTCTACACTGTATCACACTCCAGGGCATCTCTACACTGTATCACACTCCAGGGCATCTCTACACTGTATCACACTCTAGGGCATCTCTACACTCTATCACACTCCAGGGCATCTCTACACTTTATCACACTCCAGGGCATCTCTACACTGTATCACACTCCAGGGCATCTCTACACTGTATCACTCTCCAGGGCATCTCTACACTGTATCACACTCCAGGGCATCTCTACACTGTATCACACTCCAGGGCATCTCTACACTGTATCACACTCCAGGGCATCTCTACACTGTATCACACTCTAGGGCATATCTACACTGTATTACACTCCAGGGCATCTCTACACTGTATCACACGCCAGGGCATCTCTACACTGTATCACTCTCCAGGGGATATCTACACTGTATCACACTCCAGGGCATCTCTACACCGTATCACCAAAATTGATGTTGATGACCAAGTGCTACATGTCTTTGACCTGATATGCTTTGAGCATTCCTCCCAAATTAAGTTGATGCGCCATCGTATATGACTGATCTATAGACCGATATCATACATGTGTAACTCCAAAAATATCTCTTTGTGTTGTATGTTTCTAGGTTTGTCAGCACCATACCGGTGCTCATGGGTTTCACCAAAGTGGTAAACGTCTGAGACCTGCATCACTTTGGGCTTTCCTCCCACATTAAGCTGACACGCCGTGATATAACTGGAATATAGTTAAAAGCTGTGTTAAACCCAACTCACTCACTTTTTTGTTGTTGCAATATTAGGACCTTTGTATGAGCAAAAAAATGTTCATACACCATTGTTATTCTCAGTGAATACAGGCTGGTCATATAATAACTTGAATGTATTCAATAATAATGTGAGATTAATTCATTAGTGTGTGACATTAATTCATGCGTGTGTGACATTAATTCATTAGTGTGTGACATTAATTCATGCATGTGTGACATTAATTCATGCGTGTGTGAATCCCTGAGTTTTATTCCTTGTTTTATGCAACATGATGAATGGCAGCTTTTTCTCTCATCAAATTGCTATGAAATTACTCCACAGTGCATACACCTCCGTACTGCTGCGATTTATAAACTAACGACCTACGGCATTACTTACACAGTAAATTGGATCATCTTTATTCTGAAACTCCTGGATTCATTGCTTGTTGCCATGGTTACCATGAACATTAAATCCAGTAATGCATCGTCTGCTTATTACAATGCATTAGGTGTGTGACTGGTTGGAGTCAGAAATGAGAAGATGAAATCAGTAAATCTCCCTATCGCTGTTGAGAATTTGCTAATTGAAAATGTAAAATTGAAGTATTTTCTCGTTTTATAATGAAAATATTTTATTACACAAGATATTCATTATAGATATAGTCTCTGTATTTCTTTATGATTTTGCCTTCTCATCATGCTCATGTATCATATATGCAAGATCAAAGTCTATATTTGGATGTTTAGAGATCTACAATTTCACACCATGATTCCAGAATTTTCAATTGCAAAACTGATGTTCTGGATCTCAGACTTGTGAGGGGCACAGGTGGTCCAGCCTCTCAGGAGCGCAATTTGCTGTGCACATTGCGTCCATTGGGCATGGCAGAAACCTATGATTGTGGGTTTGAATCACGGTTCTCCCAAATTATGTTTCTAGGTTTTTCAGCACCATACCCGTGTTTGTGGGTTTCACCAAAGTGAGTGAGTGAGTGAGTATGGTTTTACGCCGCTTTTAGCAATATTCCAGCAATATCACAGCGGGACACCAGAAATGGGCTTCACACTGTACCAATGTCGGGCCTGCATCACTTCGGGCTTTTCCTCCATTCAGCTGACATGACATGATATAACTGGAATAATGTTAATTCACTCACTCACGCTCAGACTTGAGAGGCATGGGTGTGCACAGTCATTTGCTGTGCAGAGTTGCATCCCTTTGGCACGCCCGAATTTTATGATTGTGGGTTCGAATCCCGGTTCGCCCAGATTATGTTTCTAGGTTTGTCAGCACCATTCCTTTGCGGCTGGATTTCACCAAAGTGGTAAATGTCTGAGACCTGCATCACTTTGTTGAATCTGGATGTGATTGTAATATGGTGGTAACTGTGCCAGCCAGTTTGAAATTGGCTTAATGTTGAGATGAGTGTCTTCTTTCAAAATATGATTAATTTGTAATTTGAAATAGGAAACCTGTTTCTAATATACAGCTTTCTTCAACAAACATGAATGAGAATATGTTGATCTTTAAATAGAATGATGAGTCACTACACACAATGTCTAGGTATGATGTGAAATGTCTGTGCACTACATAAAAATGTCTGGGCAGAATGTACAGTGCTTAGGCTCTACAGACACAGAGCTCCAGATAACGTTTTGAGCAATTGAGGTTTTTTTACTCTTGGGTTTCTATTTTAATTGGGTTATTACATTTTTCATAGGATATCCAATATTTTTTCACTCATCTATTCGTAACTCTATTGGGTTTTTCCCATAAACTGAACATTTTTAAATTTAAAAAAAAAGAAATAATGTTTTAGATGTACATAACCATGATAACTGGTCTAAATATATAGCTTGACTTGGAAAGTAAATAAATTTGTAATTGTGTTTCGGAAATTAGTTCCTTTGTACGCATGCGGAAAAAAACATCATTGGGTATTTACTTGTGCTGTTTTTATACATTTGAGTTTTTCATTTAATGCATGCGTTTCTGTACGCAAGTTAATTGAAAGTAATTGGGTTCTGAATACTTTGGGGGGGGGGGGGGAATGCAAATACGCTGCTTATCTGAAGCTCTGAGACAATGTCTGGGAACAAGGTTAAAATGTCAAGGCAGTATGTAAAAATATCTGGGCACTAAGTACAATGCTTTGGCAAGATATACAAGGTCTGGGCACAACATACAATGTCTAAATGTAGACTGGACGTTTCCGTTTGTCTTTTTTTTTTTACATTACTGATCCTCAAGTAAAGACTACCCAACAACCTTTCCAAAAACAGTATACCATATTCGACGTAATAAGCGCCCAGGGTGCTCTCCAAATTAGAAATAGGGGGCGCTTATTAGAGCTGGGTACTTATTACGTCGAATACGGTATGTGACGTCATCATTTTATCAGTTTCTGCATATATACATAGAATAACAAAAGATTGGACTGAGTGAAAAATGTTGCTCGCGAAAACGGATAACCGGAGGATATATTTAATATTATTGAACTTTGTATAATATATTAACCACATATGAATAAGATGTTCATCTGTTGTTGGAACACTCCCTATGAACTAGATGATCAAACCAGCAAACATTGGTAATGTTGGACTGTTGTATTTGTCTTTCAGTGCAATATTTAACAATATTTCTGAATTTTTTAATACACAAACCTCCATGATCAAGTTAATAATACCAACCTGTAAATCTGCCAAATAAGGTTATTTCTGCTAGTCCTATGGACTTTAGGAACAGTGTTTGCGTATGAGCCTATGACGTCTGTTGAGTGTTTTCACAATTATGGGGGATTGAAAGAATTGGTGACCAAACACTCTGCTTCTTTTGGATTGCAAGTTATCAATTCATTTTGATTTTTCCTGTGGAACTGTTCTCCTCCCATGCTTTTTTGCCATTGATTTGACATTGCGGTATGTCTGTTCCCCTTATAGAGGAGGTATATTACCCAGGACCCCCACCGCCACATATGTACTCGGGTAGGTAGTGGTCAGACGGTCAGTACCCGCTTCCTGCTCGTTGGTTGGTGTCCTGTGGGTATTGTCCGTGCAGTGGTCAGTCAGTCGTCCACTGCTGTGTGTCCGTCCACTGCTGGCCACTGAGGATGCACAGCAGGCAACATTTACCATTTCATGTCTATGTACAAAGGGAGATCAGGTTTCTTCGTCACATTTTTCATGTATGCAGGACAAACTGCCGGTACTCGTTGACATTGTTTGTTTTCATTTTTTCGATACAATCTCAAATATAAAAAATGCAAAAAAATAACAAATAATAACAAACAACTTGGTCAATCTTTGCATACAGTGTAAAAGAATTATAGTTTCAATGACCTGATTGAGCTTGTATGTGTGTCATGGTTCAAGTTATGAACACAGCAATATATGCATGACGGTTTGGGTTGTAGTTTCAAATGCTGAAATAGTACATCTGATATGGTAAAGAGGAAATGGTTTTGCAAATATATAATTCATATTAGAAAATCATTGGCTGTGTGGCAAAATGATTGCATTTCTCATTGTTTCTAGGCTAATGTACTGTTTTGAACACTGACTTATTTGCAATTTGACATAATATTTGCAATATGTACATACTATTTTTGCACTATTTACATAATATTTGCAATATTAATTTTGTGTTTGAATATTGATCATTTTGACATAAGAAAATAGTTTATGATATTGGCCATATTTATCAAGTATGCAACATTGACAAAGTATTTGGAACATTAACATAATATTTGCAAGATTGATTTGGAAAAATAGGGTTAACATTACCGAAAAGTTATTTCAACATTGATGTAAAATTTACAACATTAGCAACGCTAGCGTAAGTCTTTCATACCATGATGTAACAAAACACAAAATTTCAAACATCGAAGTCCGTTTGTACTCTGCCGACAACGGATCGAAATTGCTAGTTTATGTTTCCAAGGTAGCCTGGCCATTTAGGAAACAGGAAAGACGAATATATTGCTGTGTTCATAAAGGGCAAACCGTATGATGGCTTTGGTGAAGAGGCATAGTGTGGATGACACTTGATCTAGTGGTTTGGTCCTTCGTGGAACCCTGTTGTCCCCACTGTTGTCCTGGGTTGTGGAGGAATGGCCATATGTGTGGAGTAGGCTGGGAGCTGGTGCTGGGTTCTGCAAGTTTTGTTTTTAGCAATTTGTATGCTGGATTGTGGGTATTCCAATATTTCTTTTGAATGAAATGAGTGTTGTACTTGGTAATCGGATGACAGTCTGCTATATGTTCATGAAATAATCAAATATTTTTAAATAATTATTAAAAAAACAAACTTTTGACCACTTGAAAATTATTGTCAAGAATGGCCTCTTTATTTGAAATGTAATTTTTCAAAGATTTGGAAATTTCCCCCCTCATAATCGCAATAATCATTTCATATTTTTTTTAACTTTAATGAAATTGTTTTGAAATATATATTAACATAACAGATTAAACATCAAAGTATTAACCTCTGGTTTTGTGAGATTCATGGTTAGAAAGCTACATTATGTAAAGGGTGAACATCCACATGTATTTGGGAATGGTTATATATGAAACTGTTGTTTTGTCATTTAAATCAATGTGTCATGTTTTAATATTGTGCATGATTTTTCCACTTGGCTAAAATGTCAATCACGATAATGCATGGGAACAAAACAATATCTTTAATCCTGAGAAACTATCAAATTTCTCTTTTAAGGTAAATATTGAAGTTGTTGCTACAGAAGTACTTCACGACAACAATTTTGAAACTTGAAACATTTTTTTTCTGTCTTTATTAGATACAGTCATTTGAGGTTGTATGAGAAAAATATTCTTTTTTTATCTTCTTGATTTAATATGGATTAAACAGAGGTTGAGGTTCCTGATTTGTTGTTAATGAATAGTATTGACTTCTAAATGATCATGCACATTCCTGTCATATTATGTTACCGTGCCCACGTGTAGCCTTCAGTGTTTAACTCCAGCTCCGAGAATTGAGCAGCATTTTTATTTGTATGTTCAGTTGGCAGATGGCCATTAACTTTGCTTGGTTTTCAGCTCGTCAGCAGTTGCAGCTTCAGCAGCAACAACAGCAACAACAGCAACAGAGACTGCAGATGCAGCAACAAGCAGCATCACAGCAGCAGCAGCAACAGCAACAGCAACAGCAGCAGCTTCATCACCTGCTGCTTAACCAACAGGTAAGATGGGGTGTCACAGACAGGATGTAATGTGATGGGGCCACACGGGTTGTACACATGGTGGAGTGTGCACGCTGGTCACTGATATGTAGTGGGATCATCTCTTGTGGAGAGGGTAGAATGAGTTTAGAGAAGGCTTGGGTCATGTAGAAGAGGTGCAATAGCTATTGGGGAGAGATTTTGGTGAATTGTGAGGTCACAGAGATGTAGAAGGACACTATCTGTGGAGAGAGATTTAGTGGAGTGTGAAGTCACTAAAATGTAGAGGACACTATCTTTTGAGAGAGAGTTTAGTGGAGCGTGAAGTCGTTAAGATGTAGAGAACACACTTTGTGGAGAGAGTTTAGTGGAGTGTGAGGTCACTGAGATGTAGAGGACACTATCTGTGGAGAGAGTTTAGTGGAGTGTGAGGTCACTGAGATCTAGAGGCCACTATCTGTGGAGAGAGTTTAGTGGAGTGTGAGGTCACTGAGATGTAGAGGACACTATCTGTGGAGAGAGTTTAGTGGAGCGTGAGGTCACTGAGATGTAGAGGACACTATCTGGTGGTGAGAGTTTGGGGAGCATGAAGTCACTTAGTTGTAGAGGACACTATTTGTGGAGAGAGAGTTTAGTGGAGTGTAAGGTCACTGAGATTTAGAGGACACTATTTGTGGAGAGAGAGTTTAGTGGAGTGTGAAGTCAATAAGATGTAGAGGACACTATCTGTGGAGAGAGTTAAGTGGAGTGTGAGTTCACTGAGATGTAGAGGACACTATCTGTGGAGAGAGTTTAGTGGAGCGTGAGGTCACTGAGATGTAGAGGACACTATCTGGTGGTGAGAGTTTGGGGAGCATGAAGTCACTTAGTTGTAGAGGACACTATTTGTGGAGAGAGAGTTTAGTGGAGTGTGAGGTCATTGAGATGTAGAGGACACTATTTGTGGAGAGAGTTTAGTGGAGTGTGAGGTCACTGAGATGTAGAGGACACTATCTGTGGAGAGAGAGTTTAGTGGAGCGTGAGGTCACTGAGATGTAGAGGACACTGTCTTGTGGAGAGAGAGTTTCGTGGAGTGTGAGGTCACTGAGATGTAGAGGACACTATCTGTGGAGAGAGAGTTTAGTGGAGTGTGAGTTCACTGAGATGTAGAGGACACTATCTTGTGGAGAGAGAGTTTCGTGGAGCGTGAGGTCACTGAGATGTAGAGGACACTATCTTGTGGAGAGAGAGTTTAGTGGAGTGTGAGTTCACTGAGATGTAGAGGACACTATCTTGTGGAGAGAGTTTAGTGGAGTGTAAGGTCACTGAGATGTAGAGGACACTATCTGTGGAGAGAGAGTTTAGTGGAGTGTGAAGTCACTAAGATGTAGAGGACACTATCTTGTGGAGAGAGAGTTTAGTGGAGTGTAAGGTCACTGAGATGTAGAGGACACTATCTGTGGAGAGAGAGTTTAGTGGAGTGTGAAGTCACTAAGATGTAGAGGACACTATCTGTGGAGAGAGTTTAGTGGAGTGTAAGGTCACTAAGATGTAGAGGACACTATCTTGTGGAGAGAGAGTTTAGTGGAGTGTAAGGTCACTGAGATGTAGAGGACACTATCTGTGGAGAGAGTTTAGTGGAGTGTAAGGTCACTGAGATGTAGAGGACACTATCTGTGGAGAGAGTTTAGTGAAGTGTGAGGTCACTGAGATGTAGAGGACACTATCTGTGGAGAGAGTTTAGTGGAGTGTGAGGTCACTGAGATGTAGAGGACACTATCTGTGGAGAGAGTTTAGTGGAGTGTAAGGTCACTGAGATGTAGAGGACACTATCTTGTGGAGAGGGTTTAGTGGAGTGTGAGGTCACTGAGATGTAGAGGACACTATCTGTGGAGAGAGTTTCGTGGAGTGTGAGTTCACTGAGATGTAGAGGACACTATCTGTGGAGAGAGTTTAGTGGAGTGTAAGGTCACTAAGATGTAGAGGACACTACCTTGTGGAGAGAGAGTTTAGTGGAGTGTGAGTTCACTGAGATGTAGAGGACACTATCTGTGGAGAGAGTTTAGTGGAGTGTGAGGTCACTGAGATGTAGAGGACACTGTCTTGTGGAGAGAGAGTTTCGTGGAGTGTGAGGTCACTGAGATGTAGAGGACACTATCTGTGGAGAGAGAGTTTAGTGGAGTGTGAGTTCACTGAGATGTAGAGGACACTATCTTGTGAAGAGAGTTTAGTGGAGTGTGAGTTCACTGAGATGTAGAGGACACTATCTGTGGAGAGAGTTTAGTGGAGTGTGAGTTCACTGAGATGTAGAGGACACTATCTGTGGAGAGAGAGTTTAGTGGAGTGTGAGTTCACTGAGATGTAGAGGACACTATCTTGTGGAGAGAGAGTTTAGTGGAGTGTGAGTTCACTGAGATGTAGAGGACACTATCTGTGGAGAGAGAGTTTAGTGGAGTGTGAGGTCACTGAGATGTAGAGGACACTATCTTGTGAAGAGAGTTTAGTGGAGTGTGAGTTCACTGAGATGTAGAGGACACTATCTGTGGAGAGAGTTTAGTGGAGTGTGAGTTCACTGAGATGTAGAGGACACTATCTGGTGGTGAGAGTTTAGTGGAGTGTGAGGTCACTGAGATGTAGAGGACACTCTCTGTGGAGAGAGTTTAGTGGAGTGTAAGGTCACTGAGATGTAGAGGACACTATCTGTGGAGAGAGTTTAGTGGAGTGTAAGGTCACTAAGATGTAGAGGACACTATCTTGTGGAGAGAGAGTTTAGTGGAGTGTAAGGTCACTGAGATGTAGAGGACACTATCTGTGGAGAGAGATTTAGTGGAGTGTGAAGTCACTAAAATGTAGAGGACACTATCTTTTGAGAGAGAGTTTAGTGGAGCGTGAAGTCGTTAAGATGTAGAGGACACTATTTGTGGAGAGAGTTTAGTGAAGTGTGAGGTCACTGAGATGTAGAGGACACTATCTGGTGGTGAGAGTTTAGTGGAGTGTGAGGTCACTGAGATGTAGAGGCCACTATCTGTGGAGAGAGTTTAGTGGAGTGTGAGGTCACTGAGATGTAGAGGACACTATCTGTGGAGAGAGTTTCGTGGAGTGTAAGGTCACTAAGATGTAGAGGACACTATCTTGTGGCGAGAGAGTTTAGTGGAGTGTGAGTTCACTGAGATGTAGAGGACACTATCTTGTGGAGAGAGAGTTTCGTGGAGTGTGAGTTCACTGAGATGTAGAGGACACTATCTGTGGAGAGAGTTTAGTGGAGTGTAAGGTCACTAAGATGTAGAGGACACTATCTGTGGAGAGGGAGTTTAGTGAAGTGTGAGGTCACTGAGATGTAGAGGACACTATCTTGTGGAGAGAGAGTTTCGTGGAGTGTGAGGTCACTGAGATGTAGAGGACACTATCTGTGGAGAGGGAGTTTAGTGAAGTGTGAGGTCACTGAGATGTAGAGGGACTCTTTGTTTGCATTCTCTACTTGAGAAAGTGGAAGAGGGTATCTCCAGAAGTGTAAGGAAATTCTTTTAGTCTCTGCATTGAAATGATATGGAGGACGATGGCATGTTGCATGCGTCTTATCCTCTGACATCCTTTGTTTAGAATCCACAAGGCCAGCAGCCTCAACAGCAGCAGCAACAACAGCAACAGCAACAGCAGATGCGGCAACAGCTCCTGCTTCAGCAGCAGCAGCAGCAGCAGCAGAACATGAGGGGCGCCACACCCCAGACACAGCAAGGGGTGATGGGGGCTCAGCAACCAATGCAGTCACAGCTTGCCATGCCACAACCAGGACAAAACTATCTCGATGAATTCAATCTGCCGGATATCCTCTAAACAAGTCAAGGACAAGATGGACTATCAAGATGAATTCAATCTGCCGGATATCCTCTAAACAAGTCAATGGGCAAGATGGAAAGGGCACGATGGAACTATCTCGATGAGTTCAATCTGCCCGATTTCCTGTAAAGAAGTTACTGTAAATCTGGGAAGCTTTGCAAGTAGCAAAGTACGGCGAAAACTGTGAGTGACACACACATGCAATATATTCAAGATGCAGTTATTTTTGCAGACTAACAAGAATTCAAAAGTAAGGAGGCATATTTCTATTATTCACTTCCACACATTGTGAAACTATCCCGTTCATAATTAAATAGGGCGGTCGGGTAGCCTGGTGGTTTAAGCGTTCGCTCGTCACGCCGAAGACCCGGGTTCGATTCTCGACATGGGTACAATGTGTGAAGCCCATTTCTGGTGTCCCCCGCCGTGATATTGCTGGAATATTGCTAAAAGCGGCGTAAAACCATACTCACTCACTCACATAATTAAATATTTATTCCTCACATTCTGTTTCTTAAATTACACATTGTCACTGAGTGTCAATTGTCTCATCAGGAAAGTTTACAAACAAGCATCTCAGATCTCGTCGAGTTGCTTACGTAACACTGAGTAGTCTTTACATCGCCAAACTTCCAAGACACAGTTTTAGGCTTTTGTTAGCCACTCATGGCGCAAAACTTTCCAGATTGACATTATGCAAAGTAAGGACAGGACTATCTCGGTGAGTTCGGTCTGCTGATATCACCACGGAAACTTGCCATTGTTTTGTTTGAGTTATGGGCAGGGTGAATTCAGTCTGATATTCGGAGTGAGATTATTGACAGCCTAGTTGATACTTAATATGTCTCTGTTCCTCACTTGTGTTAACTTGCTGTTGTTTGTGGGTCCAAAAAGAAGGAATTATATGTGGCCTTATCATTCACCAAGACTCTTCATCCTAAGAAGTCATACCTCATTTTAACGTCGAGGCTTTTATTTCATGAGAATTGCATGCCAAACGACTTTGTCAGTAATTATTTTCAAACTTTCATCTGCATGAAGAAAGACTTAGCGACTCAGGGAGTGGAAGGATTATCTTGCCATAGTGACGCACAGAAAATGTTTCATCACAGACATGTTTGCCTGGTAATCTTGTGGGAAAATTTCTGTTGGGAATGTCTATATTTTTACTACTAAAGATAAGTCGAGGACCTCCTGATTCTTTCGTTTCACAATAGTTATTCTTTCATGGCATGACAGATTAACTGTAGTTATATGAAAGAACCAGAGCAGCACTGTGACGATTCATAGGATTTCATGCTGCATGTCTTTTTGATTGAATACTATGTAGATTTGATGACTTGAGTGTCTTGGCATAGCTGTCAACTGTCCTGAATTTTTTCGTATTTGTTATGAATTTGCAACATGAATTTCTAACATAATTCTTAAGAATAATAATTTATTGATTGGTATGAAATCTATTTATTGTGTTGCATCTGTCCAATCGAGACACTCCTATCATATTTTCAGAAGTTGCTGCAGTCAAAATAGAAACTAAGTGATAAAATTTTCAGCTAAGTTACGGAATCACATGCCTGTATTGTACTGTGTCCCATTTCCCAAAGCGATCTTAGTGCTACAATGGTAGCCTATGTTAAAGTGTTAGACTTACAATCACCTTAGCGCTAAGATCACTTTGAGGAACGAGGCCCTGAAAACAATTCATATCATCTGGCACTGGTGTACCGACCAGAAGATCGTAACAAAATGTTTGTTGTAATTCTGAAAAGTTGGCAGATATTTCTTTGTGAATACATGTGTTGTTGTATGAAGAAAGGTAGAAATGCCCTATAAAATGAAGCTGGGATTAGCTTCAATCTACACAGTTTTCTTGAAGTCAATATGAAGAAACATAGACCTGTGAGATATCTTCATGTTTGGAATTTCTTCTCACTTTAGTGGAGGGGCATTGGTATCTCTGATTTAAAGAGCAACATGTCACTTAGTGAGTTGTCCCCCTTTGTTATATCTGGAACTGCAGAAAGGGTTCAATTCCTGGGTTACCTTTATTATCCTTGGTTGGTCAGTATCATACCTGTGCTTGTTGGTTTCACCAAAGTGGTAAACATCTAAGACCAGCATCACTTGTGTCTTTTCTTCCCCATTGGGGGGCACGGGTGGTCCAGTCGTCTAAGGCGCCGCGATTCGCTGTGCAGAGTTGCGTCCCTTGGGCACGCCAGAAACCTATGATTGTGGGTTGGAATCCTGGTTCACTCTGGTAATGTTTCTAGGTTTGTCAGCACCATACCCATCCTTCTGGGTTTCACCAAAGTGGTAAACGTCTGTGACCTGCATCACTTCGGGCTTTCCTCCCACATTAAGCTGACATGCCGCAATATAACTGGAATACTGTTACAAGCGGCGTTAAATCCAACTCACTCACTCACTCTTCCACATTGTGCTGACTTACCATGTTAGCTAAAAAGAATAATAGTCTTGGTTCTTGGGCACTGCCAGCATCATTATCACAAAGTCCATCACATGTTTTGGTTTTATGTCCATTTTCCACACAAAAAATAATACTAATACTTGAAAACAATGCGATCCAATATAGCACACGGGTACTTCCCTTTACATGCCCACTGCTTTACTGCGCATCTCGTGTTGTGGTCATGGCCGCAAAAAGAGTTTGTATCCTTGTTTATGTAGGGAGGCCCTTTCCCAGGTTGATGGTAAAAAACAGATAAAAAACAAAAAAAACAAAAAAAACACCACCACCCGCCCGCACTATATTTTCAAAAGTCATTGCCTGAGAACCAGTTCTTTTATTTTTTTAAGCCTTCTAAGCCTCTTAAGACACTTCCTTGTACTGATCAGTTGACCTCACTCACTTCATGTAAAGATGTTTATATTATTTCAGGGGCGGTGGGGTAGCCTAGTGGTTTAAGCATACGCTCGTCACGCCAAAGACCCGGGTTCGATTCCCGATATGGGTACAATGGTCTGGTGAATCTGGAGACCCCGCTGTGATTTTACTGGAATATTGCTAAAAGCGGCGTAAAATCAAACTCACTCACTCACTCATCATATTATTTCATGTAGAATGAATCTCACCACATATATGATGCAGGTGTACAAATTTCACTTGTCAAATTAACATATAGTTTGTGCTACTGATGAATTACATGTGCATGGACTTCACAATTCTGAGGAAATAGATTTTCGACCAAAGACTGCAAAACGTTGATTTTGTGGGATTGTAAATAATTGTACATATGTAATATACATCTATGGATTGTGTACATGCTGTTTTTGTATTGTTTCTCCTCTACACGTTTTCCTACATGAACTGTACATTTGTATATGGTGATTGGAGTTGTCTCATCATTGAACGCTAGTATTCAATAGTTGTTGCTACTTATCAATATTGTATTTCAAAGGGATTTTTGTTCTGAAAACATTGTTCAAGTATGTTTTGTCACGTTTTGATGTGATGAATGACTTTGCTTTCTAGTCAGTCATGTTCATTTCCTACATTATTTATGTTGATGACATGGACACATAATGTCATATTGTTCAAGAGCTTTTAATTATTTTTTTAAATCATGGTTTAAAACTTGGAACATGCACTGAAGCTTACATCTTCTGGCAAGGATATTTGATATTGGTCTGGAAAAAAAAACTTGTTGAGTTTGAACAGCGTTGGTTTTTTTTATACAATGAATTCCATTATTTGATTATTGTTTATAAGAATAGTGACATGAAGGAAAACATAATTTGCTTGTTTGTGAAGAGACTTGAAATCAATTGCATGACATTAGAAAATCTTGCTTGTTCCCTGACTGATCAACTACCCCATTTCATTTTGCAGTTTCAGTGCTCAATGTCACACAATGACACTCACACTTGTGTCTGGGTGCAAGCATGTTGTCCATTGTTATGTTATCACTGCTTGTAACATATTGTACAGCTACGGAAAAATAAATTCTAAAACAATTGCAGTATGATTTTCTCTCTTGATGAAGACGTTCTCCGTGGTCAAGTGGTAAAGCGTTCACCTGGAGAGTGGAAGGTCCAGGGTTCGATTCCCGGCTGCATCATACTAAAAGACGCTAAAAGATGGTTTCTGTACCTGGAAACTGAATATAAATGGGCAGTTCAAAATTTGAAAAAATGATGGCTGCTCTTTCTGTCGTTTCTGAGAGCCATGACACCAACACTCATATGGTTGTACTATTTATGTTGTCAAATCAGGGTGCCCTGCCGCGTCATACCAAAAGACGTTAAAAGATGGTACTTGTTGTTACCCAGTCTGGCGCTTGGCATTAAGGGGCTAAAACAAGGACTGGTCGTTTGGAGTCAGTATACTGTGTCTGAGTGGAGTATTCATGTTAAACTGCGGCATGGTATCTCAGTGTGCTAGCACTATAAATCGGCATCAGTCCGGACTAGTACAAGCAGCCACACACACACACATACACGGGCATGCATGTCAATATATAAGTGCAATAATCTTGTACACGACCTTAAACCCCAATTCACCTCACCCTTTATGTCGTTTCTGAGAGCCATGACACTAACACTCATATGGTTGTACTATTTATGTTGTCAAATCAGGATGAAAAGGAAGTGAAGCTGAATCGTTTTCGAAAGCTGACCCATGATTAGTTCAAAGATCCAACATCCTTCATTTAGTTTACGCTGGAGTGCCTCCGTGATCTGGTTGTAGATCGTCTGCCCGGAAAGCGGAAGGTTCGATGCCAAATGACGTTAAAAGATGGTTCTTGTTTTTATCCTGCCTGGCGCTCGGCATTAAGGGGCTAAACAGGGAGTGGTTGGCTCGTTGTCAGAATACTGTGTCTCAGTAGGGTATTCATAATAAACTGCGGCATGGTATCTCAGTGGGCTGGCACTATAAAATCAGGACTAGTTCAAGCAGCCACACACACGTGCATGTACGTCAATATATACACAAAGAAAAAGGTTATGCACACCCCAATATATTTCTTTATTGTTTGGTCCCAATATTTGTAACAGTCATGGAAGATATAACTACGGGAAGAATTATATTTTCTCGAGATGATGTAATCAGTCATGCGTGACGAAAGCTCACGTGCCATGCATGGTACCCTCGAGTATCTCTAAAAGCTGTATATCCAAACGTTAAAATTGCATGGTGCATTGGGCGACAGAACTGGAATCTGAGAAATTGGAGACGGATCCATTGGTCAGACGAAAGTCGCGTTCTGCTCCACGTCACTGATGGCAGAACTAAAGTTTGGAGGCACCGGAACACGCCCATACATCTCCTGGAACATTAAACCGACTGTTGCATACGGCGGGGGGTTCGGTAATGGTTTGGGGTGTATCTCTCATGATTGCAGGTTGGATTTGGTCACCATAAGGGACAACTTAACAGGGGATCAGTACATCCGGGACGTTTTGAGGCCAGTCCCTCTTGCTACTCGACCACAGTACATGGATTACAATGCCAGGCCTCATCGTTCGCATGCTGTCGTGGATTACATAAGGGCCAGTGCAATAACGACTCTATCCTGGTGAGGTGAGGTGAAATTGGGTTTAACGTCGCGTCCAAGATTATTGCACTTATATAGCGACGTGCATGCACGTGTATGTGTGTGTGTAGCTGCTTGTACTAGTCCGGACTGATGCCGATTTATAGTGCTAGCTCACTGAGATACCATGCCGCAGTTTAACATGAATACCCCACTCAGACACAGTATACTGACTCCGAGCCGGCCAGTCCTTGTTTTAGCCCCTTAATGTCGAGCGCCAGACTGGGTAACAACAAGTACAATCTTTTAACGTCTTTTTGTATGACGCGGCCGGGGATCGAACCCCGGACCTTCCGCTCTCCGGGCGGACGCTCTACCACAAGACCACGGAGGCGGTCGACTCTATCTATCCCAGATATAACCCCCATTGAACATGTTTGGGATATTCTGGGGCGGCGCATACAGGCACGAGATCCTCCTGTACAGGATTTACGCCAAGTGGAAGCAACATTTCATCAGGAGTGGTTGTTGTTGACCCATCATTACCGATTGTCTGGTCCAGACTCGATTATTTACAGACCGCCGTCATATAGCTGGAATATTGCTGAGTGCGTCGTTAAACAACAAACAAACATATTAACTAAATTTTCTCAATGTTCCCAATCTTCGGCTATTAAAGAGTAAATTCATTTTATACAGGTTTAATATTATAATATTTATGAATGAGTTCTTTCCTCTCTTCTTCAAACGAATGACAAACATATAAATAGTGAATTCATTACCTGTGTCATACAATTGGAATAGTTTCAGTTTTTCCGATCCACATGTTTCCATGAATGAAACCGTGGCTCCAATTACAAGACTCAATTCATTAGTAATACAATACCGCGACTCTATCAGCTGACTGGCAGTTAATTAGTGATACAGCTGGATATATCACATACTATCCTCATGGCTGTTTTACTAACATAATAACTCACGGAATCATATTCCGTCTACCTGTATCTATACATTATATTCATGAGTTGATACAATATAAAATGAGTACCGGAGACCCTAGATCGGTTCGTTGTAAATAATGGCATGACAGGTATCCCCTAGCTGCGGTTACCGTATCCTCCTCTCATCCGTTTTATTGTTTTTCCCGTCAGTCGTGTTCGAATCCAAGATATAATAAATCGTATAATATTCATGCTCGAGGGTTTCACTGATGTGGTGAACGTGCAAGACCTGCTTTTCTCCCTCATTCAGCTGATACGTCGTGATTGAGGGGGGCACGGGTGGCCCAGTCGTCAAAGGCGCCGCGATTCGCTGTGCAGAGTTGCGTCCCTTGGGCACGCCAGAAACCTATGATTGTGGGTTCAAATCCCGGTTCACCCCAATTATGTTTCTAGGTTTGTCAGCACCATACCCGTGCCCGTGTGTTTCACCGAAGTGATAAACGTCTGAGACCTGCATCACTTCGGGATTTCCTCCCACATTAAGCTGACACGCCGTGATATAACTGGAATACTGTTAAAAGCGGCGTTAAACACAATTCACTCACTCACTCACTCACTCGTGATATAGCCGAACTAATGTTCGAAGCGGCATTAAACCCAGCTCACTCACTCGGACATCTTCCCTAGGCAAGGGCGTTAACCAGTGTTAGTCCAGTGGACCCGCATAGTCAGTTAACGCCCTTGCCTCGGGAAGATGTCAGTCGGACAGCAAAATAGTGATCTTACTTATAATAATTTTATCTGTGAGATTGCAAAACTCCCGAACAATCAGGTGTCCTACAGAGCCTTGTAGAATGTGGATTCATATTAAAGTGTTGTGCGTTAAGCAATAATTGTCAGCTTCTCTCAGAGAAAAAGGTACATGTTTTGAAGCGCTGACTAAAAAAATGTATGCTGTCTGAAACAATTCTGGAACGTGTGACAACACAAAAATACAATTTGATATATCAATAATGACATATTTGGAAAACATGATGGATTTTGGATCTCCCAAATATTACCAACACTATTAATATCCATCGGTAGACAATTGAGGAAGGCAAATACGAAAACCTCTTTTGTTTCTCATGCATCGTTCTTTTGATATGTATTCGAATTATTGATATCTATTAATAGATTATTGATTCAATAGTGAGTGACCATATTTTTTCTCCGCTTTTAGCAATATTACAGCAATATCACGTCGGTACATCCACCTTCCCGAGGCAAGGGCGTTAACTGACTATAGAAGTTCAGTTTCCTTACTTACTTACTTATATTGGAAATTTAACGTGCGCTTTCTGACTGCAAGCGTATGTCGCCCACGGGCCCGGCCAGGCCATTTAATGTGTTTCCGAAAAGGGTGAAAGTGAGTTTGTGCAACCCAGGAGGGGAGTTTTAGGGGTTGCTTATATGGTAATTTTGAAATTTTGAGATTTGGAGCGGGTGGAGGACGAACTAAGGGAGCTGTGTGTGTTGGGTGGTTGTTAGATTAAGTAGTTTTGGTTTTAATATTTTATTTGGGGTTTAAATGCGACTAATTAGTCCTGTTTTAATTAGGTATATGCCAAAGGCTTTGAATTTTTCTAATTTATTTTGTGGATTTAGGATTGATTCTTCAGTTTCCACCCATGCCAAGCTTTTATACCTTTCAGGCTCGACCGTAGCGCCACCAAAGGCTACTACAAGTTATGTCCCTTCTCTGTCCCTTCCATTGACCAACCAGATTCCACCTCTCATATCACATGCATTGGCTTCAAACAAAATGGCGGCGCCCAGTCAAGACTATCTTATCGTTAATCAAAATCTATGTTGTAATAAAACGGGCCTTACCTCGCGAAGTTCATCAAATTATTTGAGCACCTTGATTAAAATCATGAACAGATTTGCAAAATATCTGTCGACGCCCAGTTGGCGGTACACATGCTTTGCAAATCCTTCAGTCGACCGAAATCTGCACGTTGAAATCCATGTTGTTTACGAACCGGATGTCTAGTTTGTTACGCGAATTTGATTGGACTATCATAGACTCGTTTGTCCAGCCAAAATGTAACTCCGGAATTCCAGCCTAGTTCGGCAAGGATGGAAACTGGCCTTCAATAGTCAGTTAACGCCCTTGCCCCGGGAAGATGGGTGACATCAGGAATGGGCTTCACACATTGGGCCCATTTTGGGAATCCAGCCCGAGCCCTCCAGCGAACACTTTAATCACTAGGTTACACCATCGCTCCAATATAAACCAAAGAAATACACGACAATAGCAAAATAGCGTATCATATCCTGATGTTTTTTTTTAAAGGTAAATGCATTAATGTTGTGAATGAATACAAATACCTTGGCATATTGTTTACCCATTCACTGAATCTGAATAAGCCTGTAATTTATCTCAAAAACAGAACAAAGAAAGCTCTGTTACAAGTCCACTCTGTTATCTCTAAGCTTGGAGTTATTTCACCGAAAATGTATTTTAAATTCTTTGATTCTCAAATGCAACCTATTTTACTATATGGGTCTGAGATATGGGTTTGTAAAGAGTTCTGTACAGTTGAAAATGTTCATCTCCTCGCTTGTAAAAAGTTTTTGAATGTTGGTATGTCAACACCAAGTAATATGGTTTATGGAGCATGCGGGAAATTCCCATTGTACATTGTATCTTACACTCGTTGCTTGAAGTATTGGTGTAAAATAATAATTATGCCTGAACACCGTTTACCTAAGAAAGCCTACAACATGCTTGTACACCTCGATAGTCTTGGAAAGAACACGTGGGCTTCTTGTATACGTACATTGCTTTGTACATATGCCTTTGGTTTCATTTGGCTGTCCCAGACAATTGGTAACGCAAATATTTTCATTAAGTACTTTCGCATGCGTGCCATTGATATGTTTCATCAGAAATGGCATTCCGATATTTACGAAAGTTCAAGATATGATACTTATCGCCAGTTCAAGTCATTGCTTGAACCAGAATCTTATTTATCAAATTTTCGGTACAGGTATTTCGTAACATTATTATTCGTTTTAGACTTGGCCTGAATGATCTAAAAATTAACACAGGGAGATTTTCATCTATTGAGAAATTCCTTAGGTTATGCCCATTCTGTGACATTTTGTCGAAGAAGAATACCATTTTATGTTTATTTGCCCTACATACGAAAATCTAAGAAACAAGTACTTACCGCAGTGGTCTTTATCTCATTGTAATGCTATAACATTGTCTTCATTACTGTCCTGCAAGGATCTTCTAACACAAAATCAACTGGCTTTGTACGTACATCATGCGTTTTTGTTACGAAGGGAATTGTTACCTTGACTTTGTATCTTATAAAATATGTTATGTAACTCCGTTGTATATGGGCCTGTGGCCTTTCGTACAAAAAAGTATTGAATTGAAAACTCCTGAAACTACATTCTAGTAGAAAATACACTGAACTATTGAGAGATAATGTTATTTATTACCACAAAACTGTAATACAGCGTTTGGTTGTGTCAGTCAAGATACAAGACAGCCATGCAATGCAATACACGCATATATTTGATACCTGTACTTAGTTTGCAAAACAGTTATATACAACTCTCTTGTAAGTATCAGCTATTTTCAGGTAAGAAGAACATGTTATGTCGGCGAGGTGGGTGAGTGAGTGAGTTGGGTTCTACGTCGCTTTTAACAGTATTACAGTTATATCGCTGCGTGTCAGCTTAATGGGGGAGGAAAGCCCGAAGTGGTGCAGGTTTCAGACGTTTAGCATTTCAGTAAAACCCACGAGCACGGGTATGGTGCTGACAAACCTAGAAACATAATTGGTGCGAACCGGGATTCGAACCCACAATAATAGATTTCTGGCTTGCCAAAGGGACGCAACTCTGCAAAGCGAATCGTGGCGCCTTATTCGAGTGGGCCACCTGTGCCCCTGAGTTTTCTAGGAATACATCGGTACGGGAAGAACTCCCTTAAATATAAAACGTCAAAGCCAGAGAAGAGCCAGCCTTGAGTATCTGCCGATACAGATTCCATTGGGCTTAAAGGGCAAAATAGCAGTGAACATTATATGAATGAATGACCAGTGAATGATATCACGTATTCGAGAAAAGTGTAAGCATGTCCTGCCCAACCGGTACCCAGCACTCGCACAAACTGCCTGAAAAGGTAAGTGTTTGTTTGCTTCCTGACGACGCACAGCAAACTCTTGCCATACGGTGGCACATAACAAACGTCTACCGTATATATCCAAATGAACAAAAAACAAATAACAATAAGAAGAATATGAACATAAGTCTATCAAGGATTAATCCCACTGTTAACCATTCCCGTCTGAATCTAGCCTCGTATTGACAGTAACCTTGCTCATCCGCCATTGGCACAAGGATGTCTATTATCTCAGTGAGCTTTGCATTTTCTTTCCGGTCCCCTGCGCCCTCTGGTGGAGCGTCAGCATCAGTTATCTGCACTTTCGGAGACATGTCTTCCAGACGATGCTCGAGAATGACGTGTGGTCGCTTTACTCGGAAGTCACGAAGCTTGGGCACTGCCACGAAGACAAGTCGATTGGCCCCAGAGAACAACCCCTGAGTTGAGAAATATGTAGATTATTATGTCAATAAAATCCACCAGGAAAGACAGTCATGTAGTTCCACATCAGATAAAATACAGAGAATATTCCATTGGTACAGTAAACTACGGTTATAACGAACTCAAAGGGACCACTAATTTTAGTTCGTAATAACCGGTGAGGTAAGGTGAGGTGAAATTGGGTTCAACGTCGCGTCCAAGATTATTGCACTTATATAGCGACGTGCATGCACGTGTGTGTGCGTGTGTGTGGCTGCTTGTACTAGGCCGGACTGATGCCGATTTATAGTGCTAGCACACCGAGATACCATGCCGCAGTTTAACATGAATACTCCAATCAGGCACAGTATACTGACTCCGAGCCGACCAGTCCTTGCTTTAACCCCTTAATGCCGAGCGCCAGACAGGGTAACAACAAGTACCATCGTTTAACGTCTTTTGATATGACGCGGCCGGGGATCGAACCCCGGACCTTCCGCTCTCCGGGCGGACGCTCTACCACTAGACCACGGAGGCGGTCCGTAATAACCGTAGTTCGTTATAAGCATATATACAGCATATATACAACAAATGGCCGGGACTAAAAATAAGTTCGTTATATCGGTCAGTTCGTTATAAGCGTGTTCGTTATAAACGTAGTTTACTGTACGTGTATCATACTGACATTGCCTAACAATTGTTTTTTAATGTCATGTGTTTTCGAAAAATAAGAAGGATACACGTTCAAATAGAATATTCTGTTTATTGTCAACACTAAGTTATAAACTGTCGAAAAAAAACTACCGGACAAAGAAAGTAAACACTTGAAATTTTCATTTGACCAATAAAATACAAATGTTTCTAGGCTGAAAACAGTCACCGAAATACTGAAAACTTAATATCTAAAATGCAATCATGATACCCGTAACGCATACATTACCAACAAATAACCATTTCTTGTTTGTTTCATTTTTAACCACCATCAAACAGGGCTGTGTGCTTTCTTTTGTCAGGCAGTTTAGTTTAGTTTATGTTGAAATCTGTCAGTATGACGTCAGTTATTTTATTTGTACTGCGTCAGCAATGAAGTCTGGATTACGGCAAGGGAATTCACGTTATTCATGTTAAACTGCGGCATGGTATCTCAGTGTGCTAACACTCTAAATCGGCATCAGTCATCAGTCCGGACTTGTTCAAGCACACACACACCCACCCGCGTCCGGGGATCGAACCCCGGACTTTCCGCTCTCCGGGCGGACGCTCTACCACTAGACCACGGTGGCGGTCTTTATATGAATGAAATATGGCATATAATTCGATAAAATCACTTTTTGAGTTATATAAAGCAATCATGAATGACCACTCATAAATTTATTTGCTTACATATCCTACCCAAAAGAAGCTCAAGAACACCCGATTCTTTTATTTTGCTTGACAGATTAACTGTAGAATCGGGTGATCCTTAACTTCTTTTGAGTAGTATATGTATGTATGCTGACTCACCCTCTTGAGATATTCTAGGACGGCCAGTCTCTTCCCGAGGGATGTACACAGATGCAGGTTGACGATTGACAGGATGAGACAGAGGAAGACCACAGTCAGAGTGAAGTTACAATATGACACTGAATGAAATATACAGAAAAAACGTTCAGCACGTGTATGATGTTTTACTTGAAATTGGATAACTGTCACACCTGCCATTTCAAAACATGCTGAACACATGACATAAGAATAACATTTATGTCATTAATGAACACGTAATGTGTAAAATTCAAATACTCTTATGTTTACTGAGATCCTTTCTAAATTAAGTATCTCTCTGAAGACAATAAACGACACTAATTGAAGGCACTCAAAATACCTAGTGTCACAAAATCGTCAAATAAACTGCCGGGCAAAAGAAAGTAAACACCCATGTTTGATGGTGGTTAAAGATGAGACAACAAGAAAGGGTTAGTCGATGTTGATGTATTTGAAACGGGTATCATAGTTGTGTTTTGGACCTTAGGTTTGCAATGTTTCAGCAACTGTTTTGAGCCGAGTAACGTTTCGATAACATTAGTAATTATTTGGTCAAATCCATTTGTCAAGTGTTTACTTCCTTCTACGCAGCAGTTTATGTTGACAAACGCCTGTACGTAGCCTCTGTGACTGAATCCCCTCTGTGGCTGAATCCCCCTGTGACTGAATCCCCTCTGTGACTGAATCCCCTCTGTGACTGAATCCCCCTGTGACTGAATCCCCTCTGTGGCTGAATCCCCCTGTGACTGAATCCCCTCTGTGACTGAATCCCCTCTGTGACTGAATCCCCCTGTGACTGAATCCCCTCTGTGACTGAATCCCCCCTGTGACTGAATCCCCTCTGTGACTGAATCCCTTCTGTGACTGAATCCCCCCGTAACTTAATCCCCCCTGTGACTGAATCCCCTGTGACTGAATCCCCTCTGTGACTGAATCACCCCTGTGACTGAATCCCCCTGTGACTGAATCCCCTCTGTGGCTGAATCCCCCTGTGACTGAATCCCCTCTGTGACTGAATCCCCTCTGTGACTGAATCCCCCTGTGACTGAATCCCCTCTGTGACTGAATCCCCCCTGTGACTGAATCCCCTCTGTGACTGAATCCCTTCTGTGACTGAATCCCCCCGTAACTTAATCCCCCCTGTGACTGAATCCCCTGTGACTGAATCCCCTCTGTGACTGAATCACCCCTGTGACTGAATCCCCCCTGTGACTGAATCCCCTCTGTTACTGAATCCCTTCTGTGACTGAATACCTTCTGTGACTGAATCCCACCTGTGATTGAATCCCCTGTGACTGAATCCCCTCTGTGACTGAATCCCTTCTGTGACTGAATCCCCCCTGTGACTGAATCCCCTGTGACTGAATCCCCTCTGTGACTGAATCCCTTCTGTGACTGAATCCCCCTGTGACTGAATCCCCCCTGTGACTGAATCCCCCTGTGACTGAATCCCCTCGTGACTGAATCCCCCCTGTGACTGAAATCCCCCCTGTGGCTGAATCCCTTGTGTGACTGAATCCCTTGTGTGACTGAATCGCTTCTGTGACTGAATCCCCTCTGTGACTGATTCCCCTGTGACTGAATCCCCTCGTGACTGAATCCCCCCTGTGACTGAATCCCCTCTGTGACTGAAATCCCCCCTGTGGCTGAATCCCTTCTGTGACTGAATCCCTTCTGTGACTGAATCCCTTCTGTGACTGAATCCCCTCTGTGACTGAATCCCCTCTGTGACTGATTCCCCTGTGACTGAATCCCCTCGTGACTGAATCCCTTCGTGACTGAATCCCCTCTGTGACTGAATCCCTTCTGTGACTGAATCCCCCTGTGACTGAATCCCCTCTGTGACTGAATCCCCTCTGTGACTGAATCCCCCCTGTGACTGAATCCCTTCTGTTACTGAATCCCCATTGTGACTGAATCCCTTCTGTGACTGAATCCCCCTGTGACTGTATCCCCATTGTGACTGAATCCCTTCTGTGACTGAATCCCCTCTGTGACTGAATCCCCCCTGTGACTGAATCCCCTGTGACTGAATCCCCATTGTGACTGAATCCCCATTGTTATCCTCTGCAGCACTTGAACACTTGCAATTTGTGCAAAATTGTTTGTCAATTTTGTGTATAATTGTGTACGAAATGAAAGATAATTTCCATGTGCCCTACTTATTTCTTGTGTATTGATTGGATTTATGCAGAATGGAGTGTATCACGTACAAGACGCTTCACTTGCCGTCTTGTAATATAATGATATATTAACACTTACTTTTACTAGACTTTTACGTGTAGTATTTGTACGACCAAACTTACGAATATCGTGGATAAGATTTAAAATCTCAATGAACGCGGTGAAGGAAATACTGATCCCAGAAAGTTATTTCCTGTTGTACATGTATATGCTCACAAGTGTGTGAGTGAGTGAGTTGGGTTTAACGCCGCTTTGAAGAGTATTCCAGCATCACAGCATGCGAGTCTTAATGTGGGAGGAAAGCACGAAGTGAAGCGGTCTTTGACGTTTAAATTTACCACTTTGGTCAAAACCCACAAGCACGGGTATGGTGCTGACAAACCTAGAAACATAATCGGTGCGAACCGGCATTCGAACTCATAAATATAGGTTTCTGGCGTGCCCAAGGGACGCAACTCTGCACAGCGAATTACGGTAGACGACTGGACCAACCATGTCCCCTATATGCTAACGATGCTAGCGAGCTAACGATCTCAACTGCTGCGTATGCGAAATAATTCGTAAAATTGATTTTCGATAGAGGAAATACGGTTGTAAATGCGTGCAAATGTTTATTGTTACTCGAGTTTCGTTATAGCTTACCCACGACAATTGGTAGATCCATGGCTGGGGCAATATCATATATCACTATTGCTATCACAGTGCCCGTCAGGAACAGAAAACCATCTGAAATCCAGAGTTTGATCACAATGATATATTCGACAAAAATATCTAGCATATTGTGATATTTAGATGCTCAACAGATAACAATAAGGATCATTTGGAAGATATAGCACGCCTGTGCAAGGATGAAGTGTGGTTTAAACAAAGTTTTGAGCAGTATTTCAGTTTGTGTCACGGCATGTTTGTTCATTGTTAATTCAAGGTCTAAGGCGTTATCACTACGTTAATACTCACGGGCAAGAGAATGATGCTGACAAACGCCCTTTGCACAACACACATCCACTCTGTGAGTGAGTGAGTGAGTGAGTGAGTGAGTGAGTTTGGTTTACGTCGCTTTTAACAATATTCCAGTTATATCACGGCGTGTCAGGTTGATTTGGTAGAAAAGCAATACGTGTCCTGATTATAAATCATATTCCTGAAGATCCGGGGTTAGAATAGGTCTTCAGCAACCTATGCTTGCAGTAAAAAGGGAGTATGCTTGTCGTCAGAGGCGACGAACGGGATCGGGTGGTCAGGCTCTCTGACTTGGTTGATGCATGTCGTCGATCCCAATTGCTTGGATCGATGCTCATGATATTAATCACTGGATTGTCTGGACCAGACTCGATTATTTACAGACCGCCGTCATATAGCTGGAATATTGATGTGTGCGACGTTAAACAACCAACCAACAAGCCAAATCATATATTCTTTATCCTCACTTGCCAATACATTCTTACACCGACGTACGCTGTCACCCTTGCCTGAATAATAATTAGTCCAAATACGACCCCTACCCACAGTTAGTCTCTCCGAGGACTCCAGAGGTATCAGGAACTGGAATGGAGCCATAAATCCCAGAAAGACCAATGGTAGAGCCGATACGTCGTTGTTCTTGCCTTCAGATGTTCCAGAGATGTTCCTTAGCTTCTTGATTTGTAAAGTGTACACAGTGTTCTCATTGCTTGTGTTGCTGTACGTAACGTTGAAGATTTCCCAATCCCCAGACTGCGTGTATTTTTGGAGAATGTCTTGTGCAGGTTCTGGGATGACCGCGATGTCAAGGTCACTGTAGGTCCAGGAGCCATACTGAATCTTGCATACGTACGTATCATTCTGACTCCGAGTGAAGTTACATAGACTAAAGAGACGGCGCTGTCTTGACATGGTGACCTGGCCGTCAACGCTGATGTGGACTTTGGAGGATTTGATGATGTCCAGTTCAGGCTCAGCTCTTTGGAAGAAAATGAGATTTACAGATGACTTTGGGTAAAGACCTAGCATCTGACCGTTTGATATTTGTTTTATTAAAAAAATATTTTTTTCAACTAAAAAGTTCAGGTCATAGACTCAAATCAGAAATGGACTTTATTCTTCGTGCACATCATACAACGTTAACTAATGTTGACTACTTATTGGTATTGCACAACCTGTATCTATGGCGTTAGTCACAAGATGCTGGGTTTACTAATTGATTTGCCGTTGTCATTATCCCTACCTCCAATGTGTGGGCGCGTGTGTGTCTTTTCTAATTTGTTCACTAAAATCCCTGGTCCTTACACTGGACATGGTGGCTGCTTGAAAAGTAATGTGCGATGGGTCCAACATATTGTTTGTATGTTTTGAAGTGTTCACTGAAAAGATTCTGCTTCAAATAAAAATTCTCTGATATATGTCAATAACACATGACCCATTCTCCGTTAAATACGATTGTCTTTGGCGGTTTCTTATTGGTTTTAACAATTTATTTCTAGAATGAAAAGGATTATATTAAGGTGTTTTCTATCCAAAGCACTGACAATAACAATGTTGTTTTCTTCACACAGGAGACTCGAATTCCGTTGTAGGTGCCCTAGTCAAGGGATAGGAAGGAATGATTCTGTGAGAAATAACACCGAGCGACTAAATAACACATGACATGGAGCTGGTAGGGTCAACATTGTGATTATAGGAATGACCCGATTATGGGAATAAGCGATGATAGAAAGAGTTGACAACAGGAGTAGCCGATGCTAGAAAGAGTTGACAACAGGAATAGCCAATATTAGAAAGAGATGACAACAGGAGTAGCCGATGCTAGAAAGAGTTGACATCCATACAATTGCTGGAATTAGCTGATTATAGGAATGACCCGATTATGGGAATAAGCGATGCTAGAAAGAGTTGACAACAGGAGTAGCCGATGCTAGAAAGAGTTGACAACAGGAATAGCCAATATTAGAAAGAGATGACAACAGGAGTAGCCGATGCTAGAAAGAGTTGACAACAGGAATAGCCGATGCTAGAAAGAGTTGACAACAGGAGTAGCCGATGATAGATTTGACAACAGGAATAGCCGATGCTAGAAAGAGTTGACAACAGGAATAATCAATATTAGAAAGAGTTGACAACAGGTGTAGCCGATGCTAGAAAGAGATGACAACAGGAATAGCCGATGATAGAAAGAGATGACAACAGGAGTAGCCGATGATAGAAAGAGTTGACAACAGGAGTAGCCGCTGATAGATTTGACAACAGGAATAGCCAGTGATAGAAAGAGTTGACAACAGGAATAGCCGATGCTAGAAAGAGTTGACATCAGGAATAGCCGATGCTAGAAAGAGATGACAACAGGAATAGCCGATGCTAGAAAGAGTTGACAACAGGAATAGCCGATGATAGAAAGAGTTGACAACAGGTGTAGCCGATGCTAGAAAGAGTTGACATATCGACATATAGCAGAATCGTGATCATAGGTATATGGTATGTCGAGTACTCACGCGCTGATCATACCAACGTCTGGTATCCACACTACATCCTCAGTTTCATAAAGATTCGTAATGTCGCCATATTCAGAAGGATCCCAACGCAACCTGTGATCAATCCATTGCAGGATGACTCTTACACTGAGTGACAACAGCTGCTTCTCTGCATCCTGAAAATACACCAGGTGTTACACACTCGAAACTCTCTGGTTTGAACACGATATTATTTAGAGGCTTACAGGCTGGACTTTGGGAATTTGTTCTTAGAGACAGTTTACGTATTCAATCACAGCTTCAAATCTGGCAATTGTTTTGTGAAATGAACAATTCAATTTTTTTCCGCAACAATCTTTTTCATCTAATATGTTCATCAAACAAAGTCCGCCTCCTTCGTCTAGTGGCAGAGCGTCCGCCCGGAGAGCATCATACCAAAAGACGTTTAAAGATGGTACTTGTTGTTACCCGTCCTGGCGCTCGGCATTAAGGGCCTTAAACATGGCTGGTCTACTCGGAGTCAGTGTACTGTGTCGTGGTGGGGTATTCATGTTAATCTGCGGCATGGTATCTCAGTGGCCTAGTACTATTAAATCGGCTTTAATTAGGACTAGAACAAGCAGCCACGCACGCACGCACACACTCGTGCATGCACGCAAGTGGAATAATCTTGGACGCTACCTTAAACCTCATTTCACCTCACCTCACCTCCATGAAACAATGTATTTTGGGGGAAAAATGAAGACAAACTATTTTTTATTCATTTATTCAAAAACAAATAATATGTTTTTGGGAGGCGTTGCTATACGGAATACTCACCACACTCATCCTTTCAATGAAGAGGGAGATGCGGACAGCCACGGGGCGAACTTCAGGAAGGATGTGTTTGTTGTAGGAGCTGAACAGATCACGGGCTAGTCTTCCCATGTTAGGACTTGCTGCAACTGAAGCGCACCGACACAGGTGACATTGTGTATGCTTGAGTATACAGTTGAACCACATAAAGTACAACACTGATTAGGAATCAAACAATATTTTATTCAAAAATACGAAAGCGACAAATCCCTTAATTAAAAGAAATATGTGATATTTACACAGTGTATTGTTCGATTTAGCTTAAGCATTTGTTTATCACTACAAGAGTGAGTCAGTATGTTTTACGCCGCTTTTAGCAATATTCCAGCGATATCACGGCGGGGGACACCAGAAATGGGCTTCACACATTGTACCCATGTCGGGAATCGAACCCGGGTCTTCGGCGTGATGAGCGAACGCTTTAACCACTAGGCTACCCGACCGCCCCTATCACTATAAGAAAAGCAATGATACCAGGAGTCATGTTGCACATGTCTCACACATACGTAGATTCCAAATGTTAATCCTCATCGAAAAGTAACAATTTGACAAGGGATGCATGAAGACATGTTTTAATGATCAAAAGTAACTTACATTGTGAGATAACATACTTGGTTTCCGTTGTGAGATAACATACTTCCGTTCCATTGTGAGATATAATATACTTGCGTTACATTGTGAGATAATGTACTTGCGTTACATTGTGAGATATAACATACTTGCGTTTCATTGTGAGATATAATATACTTGCGTTACATTGTGAGATAACGTACTTGCGTTACATTGTGAGATATAACATACTTGCGTTACATTGTGAGATATCATGCTTGGGTAACATTGTGAGATAACGTACTTGCGTTACACGGTGAGATAATATACTTGCGTTACACGGTGAGATAACATACTTGCGTTACATGGTGAGATAACATACTTGCGTTACACGGTGAGATAACATACTTGCGTTACACGGTGAGATAATATACTTACGTTACATGGTGAGATAACATACTTGCGTTACACGGTGAGATAACATACTTGCGTTACACGGTGAGATAAAATATTTGCGTTACACGGTGAGATAACATACTTGCGTTACACGGTGAGATAACATACTTGCGTTACATGGTGTGATAATATACTTGCGTTACATAGTGAGATAACATACTTGGGTTCCTTTGTGAGATAACGTACTAGCGTTACACGGTGAGCTAAAAACTGGCGTTACATTGTGAGATAACTTACTTGAGTTACATTGTGAAATAACATAATTGAGTTACTTGGTTAGATAACTTGACAAACTTACATTGTGAGATAAATACCTGCGTTACATTTTGATATAAATTTCTATAAGAAAAGCAATGATACCAGGAGTCATGTTGCACATGTCACACAAATACGTAGATTCGGAATATTAATCCTCATCGAAAAGTAACAATTTGACAAGGGATGCATGAAGACATGCTTTTATGATCAAAAGTAACTTACATTGTGAGATAACATACTTGGTTTCCGTTGTGAGATAACATACTTGCGTTACATTTTGAGATAACTTACTAGCGTTACACGGTGAGCTAAAAAGTGGCGTTACATTGTGAGATAACTTACTTGAGTTACATTGTGAAATAACATAATTGAGTTACTTGGTTAGATAACTTGACAAACGTACATTGTGAGATAAATACCTGCGTTACATTTTGATATAAATTTCTATAAGAAAAGCAATGATACCAGGAGTCATGTTGCACATGTCTCACACATACGTAGATTCGGAATGTTAATCCTCATCGAAAAGTAACAATTTGACAAGGGATGCATGAAGACATGCTTTTATGATCAAAAGTAACTTACATTGTGAGATAACATACTTGGTTTCCGTTGTGAGATAACATACTTGCGTTACATTTTGAGATAACTTACTAGCGTTACACGGTGAGCTAAAAAGTGGCGTTACATTGTGAGATAACTTACTTGAGTTACACTTAACAAGAAGAAACAGCGACACCACGTAAATCAACAACATCCTCCTCCGCAGTGTCAAGAAACAACGCACCAGTCCAACTGGAAGGTACTGTATTGGTAAATTGTTTGGTTAGACAACCTTATTATCCCAGTACGACCAATCTGTCAACCTAATTAGTGGCTAATTATGGGTTAACATAATTGTGGCTATTATGTGGCTGTTGCAGTTCCTGTACGATCACTCGTGCCAGGATCAGACGTCTTAAAATACCTCAATTGAAAATGTCAAAGTAATATAAACACACTCGCCTTTCACCATCGAGGACCGAGATTAGATATTTTTTCAGCTTTAGATGCAAAAACTAATATTTTTTATTTAAATCTATGAGCCCGGCTTTCTTTTGAGAAAACCACCTTGCAACAATGTAATTTTGGTGGCAAGCAGTATCTTTTTTCAAACGTCTTTAGCATATTTGTTTGTTTTTTTCAAATATTTTCAGGGACAGTTTATCTTTTTCAATAAAGACCTATTCCTGGGGATTCGTCATCAACTGCTGGTTCTTTAGGGGTAAGGCCTTTGTTTGAATTTTTAAAAAGAGTGAGTGAGTGAGTATGGTTTAACGCCGCTTTTAGCAATATTCCAGCAACACCACGGCGGGGGACACCAGAAATAGGGTTCACACATTTTACCCATGTCGGGAATCGAACCCGGGTCTTCGGCGTGACGAGCGAACGCTTTAACCACTAGGCTACCCGACCGCCCTTTGAGATGTTCTGTTTGATCATACAACTTTTACATATACATCTATATGTACCAGTACATATTGAAAGAGTGTTCTGCTTGAACACAATTCTTCAGATAATCTTTATAAACAATACAAAATAAAACAATATGTTTGCACTTTTAAAAATAAATTAAGACCATTACACAAAGCAACTCATTAAGTAAATAGTTTAAGGGACGATATGTACTACTACAAAGCAATACAAATATATAAATGACAACTAGCAGTGACTTAAATTAGGGTCAAATGCCTGATGTGTTTGATATTAGTTTGACATTGCTTCATTGTCTTCAACTACATATTTTGTCATTATAAACATTGTCTCTCTTAATAGGACGTGGTATTGTCACACTGGACATACATGTAGGTATCACAGCTTGATCAAAATGATTCTGCTTGACACAATCAGCCTTTTCGCTTTCACCATCATCAGCTAGGACGCTTTATGACATTCTGTAATGCTTGAGCTGCAATTTGTGTCATTATTGTAGCATTAGTCATGGTGATGATAATGTCAAGTGGACAATTTAGCAGTTGTTGCCACTCCAGTTTATTAACAACAGCATTCCTTGAATGTACTCAGAAGGACGGCATCCGTGGTCTTGTTGAAAGAGCGTCTGCTCCGAGTGTGAAATGTGTGTGGTTCGATCTCCATTACGGGGATAAGAAAAATACTTGTCGGCTCGTAGTCAGTATACTGTGTCTGAGTGGGGTATTCATGTTCAAGTGCGGCATAGTATTTCAGTGAGCTAGCACATACACCCGGCGTAAGTCCGGACGAGAATCTGTATTAGAGATTATAACCTTATTTCTCTATTCAAGCATTTTCCCAAGGCAAGATAGTTAACTGGCTATAAAAGTCCAGTTTCCACCCTTGCCGAACTAGGCTGGAATTATGGAGTTATATTTAGGCTAGACTAACGAGTCTATGCAAAGTCAAATCAAAATCAAGTAACGATAAACAAAATTGCAACTGCCGTGCCGAATTCGTTAGATTGCAGGATTTGCAGAGCATGTGTACCGTCAACTGGGCGTCGACACGTATTTTCCATATCTTTTCATGTTTTCTAATCAATGTGCTCAAATGATATGATGCACTTTGCCAGGTAAAAACCGTTTTATTACTATACAGATCTTATCATCGATGAGATCGTCTTGACTGGGGGCCGCCATTTTGTCTGAGCAAGTGATTTGAGAGGTGGAATCTGATTGGTCGGTAGGGGGGACATAGAAGGGACATAACTCGTAACAATCAATTGGAGCAGAAAATCCGGTGACGCGTGGGTACATTTGTTCATTTTACATTGAAGCCATACCATACGCCACACCATTCATATAACCTTTTGATAAAATGATTGTCGCAGTAGTAGCCAAGTGGTTAAAGTTTGCGCTAAACACGCCAAAGGCTATCGTCTACCGTAATATTGCTTGAATATTGCTTAAAGTGGCGCAGAAACTCACTCACTCACTTAATTTAAATTTATTCACGCCCGTATATACACCTCAACAAAACAAGGCGTCTGATAGGTCTCATTGTGGACACCACTGAAGGTCTATTTTAGCGTCGTTGAGTTGTGATAAACGAGAAACACGTCAAATCCGGTGTTTGGACTGCAGATCGATAGTAGTGTTGTATCAGGCACCAGATGGGGTTATCTATTGCTGTACAGAAAATATCCTTTTCTGAACAATTAATGAGGGAAATGTATTCATGGTTTATGTACATATATCTTTTTCCATCTGTGTGAGCCCACATATACCCCATTATGTACATATAATCAAGTGAAACAGACGCCCCCATTCAATACACACATAAACGTATAAATGTAGATTTGAAAATGAGGAGAGAACTATAATGCTCGTGCCTTACAGTAGAGTTGAAGCCAAGAACGTAAGTAGCCTTGTGTTTCATTGCCTGTTAAGATTGGAAAGTATACGCTTTTTGATTTGATCAAAGATTACTCGTTATCAATACGTTACTAGGCTGGAAACAGTCGCCGTAACACTGCATCCTAAAGTTCAAAGCTCATCAAATGACTATTTCTTATCTGAATCCAGGAAGGCTCTCAGAAGGTATAGGTGTTGTCGCAGTGAATGCAACAGAAAACGCTACTGTAAACTGAGAAATGTGTATAAAACCTTTTGTAGTAAGTTCAGATATGATCTTAAATCGTCACGGCTGGTCCGACTAAAGAGCACTTTACCCAGTCCGAATTTATTTTGGAAAACTATACGTTCTCTTCAGTGACAGTCTACCCCCAGAGGATCTATATCCCCAACAGAATTGTTACATCATTTCAAGAAGTTATTCTCAAAAGACGATTCTATATATTTGGTAGACAATGAGGTCAATGAACGTGATAATGATGGCATCACTGAACATTTTAGTGATGTTGACATGCTTCTGTTGGAATCGTCTATCACGATAACGGAAATATTTAATGTTATATCTCGCTTTAAAACTGGTAAATCTGCTGGGGTTGATTGTGTTATAGCTGAAATGCTTAAGTACTCATTACCTGATATTATGCCTTTTCTGGTTGAATGTTTCGATCGGATTTTTGATCCAGGTTCTTTTCCTTCTGTCTGGTCAAAATCTATTATTAGGTAGTTATTCAAGAATGGTAATGTTAACAATCCTGACAATTACCGGGGTATATCTCTCACTACTGTTCTTGGTAAAGCAATTTACCTCTATCATCAAAAATAGATTAACACTGTGGTCAAATACGAGAGATTTGATCCCTGAAACACGAGCGGGATTTAGAAATGACTATTCGACTTTTGACCATATATTTACTTTGTATGCAGTCATTGAGAAATATTTATCATACAGAAAACGTAAGTTGTATGTGGCCTTTGTTGATTTTAAAAAGGCATTTGATTCTGTAAATAGAGCTAAATTGTGGGTTAAGGAGGCAAAATGCTTGCTATTGTTAAATTAATGTATGCAAATGTAAAATCATGTGTTCGCTGTGGTGATACTAAAAGTGACTTTTTTGTTTGTCCGATAGGCTTACGCCAAGGATGTGTTTTAAGTCCTATACTTTTCTCATTTTTTATAAATGAGTTATATGTTCATATCATGCAGTCTGGTAGACATGGCGTCCAGCTCTTCCCTGACATATTAAAACTTTTCATGCTACTTTTTGCAGATGATGTGATTTTGATGTCTAGTACTGTTATTGGTCTACAGAAGCAGGTTGACATACTTTCGCAATATTCAAATAAATGGAAACGTTGTGTTAATCTTGATAAAACAAATATTGTTACATTTCGCGAAAGTGGTCGAGTGGCCGCAAGAGAGAAATGTTTTTTTAAAGGTAAATGTATTAATGTTGTGAATAAATACATGTACCTTGGCATATTGTTTACCCATACACTGAATCTGAATAAGTCTGTAATTAATCTCACAAATAGAGCAAAGAAAGCTCTGTTACAAGTCCACTCTGTTATCTCTAAGCTTGGAGTTATTTCACCGAAAATGTATTTTAAATTATTTGATTCTTTTACTATATGGGTCTGAGGTATGGGGTTGTAAATAGTTTTATACAATTGAAAAGGTTCATCGCTTGTAAAAAGGTTTTGAATGTTGGTATGTCAACACCAAGTAATATGGTTTATGGAGAATGCAGGAAATTCCCATTGTACATTGTATCTTACACTCGTTGCTTGAAGTATTGGTGTAACATAATAATTATGCCTGAACACCGTTTACCTAAGAAAGCCTACAACATGCTTGTACACCTCAATAGTCTTGGAAATAACACATGGGCTTCTTGTATACGTACATTGCCTTTTACATATGGCTTTGGTTTCATTTGGCTGTCCCAGATAATTGGTAACGCAAATATTTTCATTAAGTACTTTCGCATGCGTGCCATTGATATGTTTCATCAGAAATGGCATTCATATATTTACGAAAGTTCAAGATATGATACTTATCGCCAGTTCAAGTCATTGCTTGAACCAGAATCCTATTTATCAAACTTACGGTACAGGGATTTTCGTAACATCATTATTCGTTTTAGACTTGGCCTGAATGATCTAAAAATTAACACAGGGAGATTTTCATCTATTGAGAAATCCCTAAGGTTATGCCCATTCTGTGACATTGTTGTCGAAGATGAATATCATTTTAAGTTTATTTGTCCTACATACGAATATCTAAGAAACAAGTACTTACCGCAGTGGTCTTTATCTCAAATGTATTTTAGAACTGTCTTGAAATACTGTGTTATCAGTACAATGTTTTCAAGCGCTACAGTAGTCACACTGACTCCCTTGATGTCTCATTTCTGATCATCTTCGTGCCGAATACCTCATCATCTATGATAAGAAGGT